TCTAGCTTAAAATTCAGAGGAATACAAACCCTGCAAGGAGTTGCACCTTCTAGCCAGGATCTTCAACTGTGATCCAAGATTGGAATTCAAGAGTTTTTAGTCAATCAAGGAGCATTTTTCCAAGGTCCAATTAGAAACAAAGTATAGGTTCCCTTTGCCACTTCAGTTTTTATTTTTTTTTATTTATTTTTTTTTTTTTAAAGTTATTTATTTATTTTACATGTGTGCCTGCAGGCCAGAAGAGGGCACCAGATTTTTTTACAGATGGTTGTGAGCCACCATGTGGTTGCTGGGAATTGAACTCAGGACCTCTGGAAGAATAACCAGTGTTCTTACCCTCTGAGCCATCTCTCCAGCCCCCCACTTCAGTTTTTATAAGCCCAGAAAAGTGCATTTATCAGACTAATAAAATTATTTTTCATCAGAGGTATTAGTGGAGGAAGAAGCAAGCAGACTGGGTGTAGAGACAAAGATTCAAATCATATGATGTTCTATTCCTGGCTGTGTTTGTGAAACAATTAGTCTTAGGTCATGGCTATGCCCCAGGCACGTAACTGTGGTAATTCATGTCTTGTCAAGCCCTCTGCAGATGATGCATTCTGTGGGCTGGCAGATGGTGTCTGAGCTTACCTCATAGTCTAGAGGCCACGGTACTGTGCTAAAGGACCTGTCTATGGGAATTGTCTCTGAGCCCTGAATACTTTTTGAATTATCTTAACAAGGAGGAAACTTCTTTGCCGAGAGTAATATTGTTGGTGAAAGATATTGCTAAACATCATTTTATTGGTTTTACTTGGCAAAGTTTTTGACCTGGCTCTGGAGTTTACAGATGCCACCCACCAGGTTCAATTTACAACTACTCAGCACTTATTTTCAATAACAACTTCTCTTCAAAGATGTTATTTCACACACACACACACACACACACACACACACACACACACACACACACGGTATCTGTAAGGTAGTTTAATACGGGCTGGAAGCACAGCTTGATGAACTAACTTTTCCTTTTACTCTATCACAACCAAGACGTGAAAGCTGTGAGCCTCTCCTCCTTCCCTCTCTCCCTTCCTTTTCAGGATCTCATGATGCCCAGGCTGGCCTCCAACTCACTATGTAGCTGAGGCTGGCCTGGAACTTCTGATCCTTCTGCCTCTACCTCCCAAGTGCTGCCATTACAGTTGTGAACCACCACACCCAGTTCTGAGTCTCTTATTTTTAAAGAAGTAGAAAGTGATATCCGGAAATGCCATCACACGCATTCTCTCAGGAGAGTCAAGCTCTTGAGTTTAGGGAGGCCCCAGAGGCATGAACCAGCAATCTCTGGTCTTCATTCTGATGTGGGCCTCATGTTGAAATTAATCTGCTTTGAATTTCTCTCCTGCTAGTGTTGGTACCCCCTCTGACTTGAAGACATTGCGGGGGATGAGATGGTTATTTTGTTGTTGGTTTTTTGAAACAGGGTCTCACTGTGTAGCTCTGGCTGGCTCTGAGCTCTTTGTTGATCAGGCTGCCCTTGAACTGGAAGAGGTTCACCGGCTTGTCTCCTCAGTGCTGGGACTGAAGGAGTGTGCCACCACACCCGGCCTCCCTGCTCACTTCTGTCAGCTAGAATCAAGGAGACATGACTTTAGAGAAGAAGGAAACCAACTGGGGTCATGACAGGGCAGTGAAATAGAAACGAAGAGAGGAACACCATCGCGCGAAGAATGATCCTGACCAGGTGTTTCTGGGATAGCAAAGGTCAATCAAGCGGTGCTCCCTGGGCTGAGATGGGTGCCAGGACAAACAACTGAGGGACGGGGAGACATGGTATGTTCTGGTAACATCCACTCATGTGCCCTGAGGTGGCCCTGAGAAGGTAGGGTAAGACTGGACATACATCTACAGTGGAAAATGAAGAGACAAATAGCAAAGCAGCAGTAGTTTTGGTTGACCAACCACCATAAGGTTTGGCAAAAGCAGACCCATGTTCTCTGTAAGAAACAGTAGAGGGCCACTATCTGCAGACTCCGGAGGGGGAAGCCAGGCGCTTTACTGAGTCCTCCAGTATCTAATTCTCTGATTGGAAATTCACTTTTCACAGTTTCTGTCAACATGTACAGCATTTTTAAAAAAAAGTCCATTTAAAAGCAGACAGCCATGCTATGACTAATGTCAGAACTCCCAAAGTAGGCTTTTTCCAAAAATACATTGTAATTGATAGCACTATAAGCTCGGTATAAAAGGGCTGTGACACAAGTCTGGCCTCGGGCTGAACCAGATGTTTCCTGTTGGTCCAGGAGCAACAGGGACATCTGCAGGTCTCCATCCTCCTTCACTGCTCTTGCTATGGTGCTTTAAGTGACTTAAGTCACACTTTTCCAGAAGTGAATGTTCCCAACGGGTATATTCAAACTGTCCTCTACCTTCATAATCCGTAGTTTTCCTTTTAGTTTCTAAGAAGTTGTTAGAGGAGAAAAATTAGAATAGAGGTCAAGATGACTATGCTTTTCAGATATTGTTTCTCTCTCTCTCTCTCTCTCTCTCTCTCTCTCTCTCTCTCTCTCTTTGGATTTTTGAGACAGGGTTTCTCTGTAGTTTTTTGATGCCTCTCCTGGAACTAGCTCTTATAGACCAGGCTGGCCTCAAACTCATGGAGATCCACCTGCCTCTGCCTCCCGAGTGCTGGGATTAAAGGCATTCGCCACCACCGCCTGGCTTCTCTCTCTCTCAATACCTGGGACAGAACTCAGGACGTCACTCACATTAAATGTGTGCTCTACCATTGAGCTATATTCCCTTTGTGGAAAATTTATTTTGAGACAGAGTCTCAACTAAATCTCCTAAGCAAGCCTCTAAATTGTCATCCTCCGGCCTCAGGTTCACAAGTAGTTGGTGTTATGACTGTGTACCACACTAGACTGAAACAAGTATTTCTGAATTAAAATATTTTACATCCTTTGGGGAATTTTTTTTTAGGGTGGTTTAGAGAACTCTTGCTGTGTAGCTCAGAGTGGACTAAGAACTCTCTCTGAAGCCCAGGATTGCCTCAGTTTTGCAGACCTTCTCCTGTGCCTCTGGGGTTACAGACATGCACCATCATGCCTAGCTTGCCCAAGTTAGGCTTTGGGTTTGTTTAGGTTGTTGTTTTTGAGACAGAGATTCCCTATGCGGCCCTGGTTGGTCTGGAACTCATTATACAGAACAGGCTGGTCTTGTTTGTGGGTCTCCTGCCTCTGCTCCTGAGTGCTGGGATCACAGGCGTGTGCCACCACACTCAACTCCAAAATTAGTTTTTGAAAAACTCACAGCTTTTGGTCAAGTTGGTCTTACAGGCTTAGTTACCTCTGTGTATTTCAGTTACCAGGTGTTATGGGAAAGGTTGGAGACACAGGAATGATTATCTTCCAAAAATTTAGAGGGATGACAGTGTTGCAGTCATGCGGTGTGCTCAATTAACTTTATCCTGAGTTCAACCGTGGGAGAGAAGTGATCGGGAGAAAGAAATGTCACCATTTACGGAGTGTCCACTTTGTAGCATCGAGAAGTCATGGTCTTCATTTAACCCTCTCTGATGCCGCACACTACCATCTCTTGACAATATGCACGAACTAAAGAGATCAGAGAAGTTGAGCAGCTTATCAAAAGCAACCCAGCTAGCAAACAGCCAGGAAAACCAGTAATGCAGACACTGACCTGTCTGGCAACCCATTAAACATAAGATCACAATCTATTTCTTCAGAGTTTTTCAGCAGTCACAGTTTATTAATGGCCCTACATTTCTTTGGCTGCTATTTCAAGTGGTTTCCTGAAACAAGTGTCACTTGGCTCCTTAAGAATAGCTATGGCACGTTGGAGAGATGGCTCATTGGTTAAGAGTGGACCTAGCTAGGTTCTCGGCACCCACGTGGGTGGTTCACAACAGCTGGTAAGTCCAGCTCCAGGGGATCCGGGATCGGACACTCTCTTCCGGTTTCCTTGGGCAGGTACTGACTCGGAAGTTTCCTCTTTGTTGATTAGCTTTCACAATACTGGGAGGGGCTGTGCAGGTGTCTAGGGAAGAAAAGTAATCAAGTCTTACCCAGCAGTGAGCCCTGTGAGCTAGCTACAGTGACAACTGGCTTTGACAGACTCACCAATGGTGCAATAGTGCTATGAATATTATGGAAGCAACCAACTACTTTCTGGTTTAAGTGCCACTCTACAGGAGGTAACGCGACAGTCTGCTACTGTAAATTTGGCCAAGATCCAGTAGCTAGAGAGATCATAGGTCTAGAAGTGAATCTGCTTCTATGGGAATTTTGCTAAATGCACACAGTATCAAACTGCCCTGTAAATACTTATCATTAAACCAAGATATTAGTGCAACTCTTGGCCCTCATCAGAGAAGCTTCTTTTTTTGCCACACACAGCAGGTTATATATAGAGTCACAACTGGTCAAAGTGCTCAGTCATAAACGGGACATCTCTACCCTGAGCGAGGCTCAGGGAGCATTGAGGAAGAGGAGGTGGAATGATGTAAGAGCCAGACATCTGGGATGACTGTACTCTTGAGCGTGACCTTTGCCTCTGCACTCATGAATCCACAATGGCCATGGTCGCCTGTGAAAAGATCGGTACAAGAGCTAGCAGCCAACATTCCAGTACGAATAGCAATAGAAACCCTGCCCCCAGCTGAAGAGCTCTTGGCTCCTGATGACTGCTTGGAGAAAGAGTCAGTTTTCTTTAGGAATGGATCCCTGGTTGATGACGGTGCCCCAGTGGATGGCCTCACACCTGTACATACATGAGCAACACTAACTGGACTCAAGGTTATTTAACAAGCAACAAGAAAAAGAGGACATCAAGTTGAAAGGGGCACATGGGGTATCTGAGGAGTTGGATGGTGAGGGAAGGTGAATATGATTGAAATACACTGTGTGCATGTATGAAATTCTCAAAGATAAAATAATAAAATAAAATCACGTTGGTATATTTTTTAAAATATACATATGAAACTGGGCATGGTATTGAAAGTCCATAATCTCATCACTTGGGAGGTAGAAAACACGGGATCAGGAGTTCAAAGTCAACCTCAGCATGGACTTCATGAGACCTTGTTTCCAAAAACAAAGCAAATTTGTATGAACCGTCTTGGTTGCTTGCTAGCACTGAAGATGCAGAGACAGAATTGCTGAGAGTTCAAGGTGTGAACTACAGAAGCCCTGTCTCAAAAAGTCTAAGTAAATAACAGACACACTCATTTGTTTGGTGGGTTGGGGAGACTTGGTCTCAGTGTGCAGCCAGGCTAGCCTGGAACTCTCTTAACCGCCTCAGCCTTTAGAATTCGAACAATATGAGACCCATATTGCAAACCTGTGAATTCGGCAGTGACTTTTGCACCCCTTCTTTAGTAGTTACAACTTTAAGACTCGGTTCTCTCAGTCACCTTACAGACGATTAACTGGCGTTTCAGATTTTTTTTTTTTTGGACAGGGTTTCTTTTTATGGCCTTGGCTGTCCTAGAACTCAGAGATTCACCTGCTTGTGCCTCCTGCGTGCTAGGATTAATGGCCTGCGCCACCTCCACCAAGCCTTATTTATATTCGTTAACGAAAGTCACTTAGGCCAGGCAAGGTAGTGCACATTTGTAATCCTGGCACTCTAGGAGGTAGAGGGCGGCGAATCTTTTTAAATAAAAAAATAAAGTCACTTAAAGTCCTGGAACTAGCACAGTTGGTAAACCGGAAAGCTTTTCCCACACCACCAGAGAGGCTGTTTGTCAATGATAATGATCAAGGGGTGGTGGAGGCTCCGCGGAGGGCGTCACCCTCACACGTCAATTCCGCTGTCACCGAGCTCTCCGCAAGCTGCGACCCCTGATGTCCCAGGCCCGACTTTGGGCTTGCGGGGAAGGACGAACGTCCCGCCGAGCTGGAGGCCCCAGAGCGAGGGCACCGGACGGCCTAATAGGGTGCAAACACGAGCCCGGGGCCAGAAACAAAACACGGGCTTTGGGGCTCGGCCCCTCCCCCGGAAGTGACGCGAGGCGACGGCGTCGAGGAAGGGCCCCGGCAGTGCCGGGGGGGTTTGAGAGTGGCGGCGGCCGCGGAGTGACGGGGGAGCCGGGCCGTAGAGCGCGGGTCTGGCGAGTGGCAGCCCAACTAGCCACATCGCCGCCCCAGCCGCGTGTGCGGGGGCGGAGGGCGGGGCTCGAGACCTGCGGCGGCTGGAGATGCGGGCGGCTGCAGGCACGCGGCTGGCTCGGCTCGGCCGCCGCCGCCTTCTCGGGCCCCGGCGCGGGGGTCGCCGCGGTTGCCGCGCCGTCCTTGAGTTCCTCGCGTGAGAAGCGGTCGGAGTCGAGCACCGCGTTCGAGGCCGTGGAGGATTTCCGCGCGCACGGCCTGGTGAGCGGCACACCCACGCCCCGCCGGGGTCTCGCACCACCGCCCCTCAGCCCGGTTCTGCGCGGGCCGGGCGGGGGCTGCGGGCGCGGCAGGAAATGCGCCCGGCGGCGGCGGTGGCGGTGGGGGCGGGGCCGGGCGGCGGAGTGGGCGGGGCTTGACTGTGGGTGGGCGGGGTCTGGTGGCGCGCTCGCCTAGGGAGCTGCTCCGCGGCGCTCAGGTGCTCGCCGGAGCGCCTCCTCCGCCCTTCCCGCACCACGGTGGGTTGTGAGAAGTCCCTTAGGCGGAAGGCAGCGGTTTTTGTTGCTTGGGTGGGGTGGAGGGGTACAGTTTTAACTTGTTGCAGTGGCAGGAAGTTGGAAAGTGAAAGTACTTTCTTGGCTCGCCCACGGGCCGGAGGTTTGCGTCTCCCCGCACTTTGATCTCGGGATGTGCGGCCTCATGCCCGCGTTCTTTCCTTCCCCAAGCCCGCTGTCTATCCGGCCACGGCTTTTTCTTTCTTTCCTTTTCAGCAACCCTCCTTGCTTACTGTACAGCTGTGGCAAGCCTTTCCTCCGAACAGCATTGGAAACATCTTTTGGGCGAGGAATCTTAACAGGCATCCGCAGGAAATAAGGGGAATTTCTTGGGTGAAGTCAGAAGACACAGTTGGCTTTTTTTCTCGAGCTGTTGCAATTTGAAGGTTAGGTCATTTTAAGTAAGATTCCTTCAGCAGAACGGCTGCCTGTGTGTCGTTCTAGGGTCAGATTTCCTTTCTCCCCGCGCACAGAACTTGAAGCTTCTGTATTCCCAGCTGGCAGTGGTGTTTTCGTTAAAACAGTATGGTTCAACTTTCCCCCGTAGGAACTCTTTGTTCTTTGATCCTTGGTTTTATTTAAAAGTGGGAACTGCTTACGTGGAGTTCACTATATTTTTTGGGAAATACTTTTAAGTTTTGGGATACCATTATATATTTGAGTCTGGGAATGTCCTGAGTGATAGCTACTCAGTCACCAGCGCCCCCCCCCCAAAAAAAAGGGGGGGAAATATACATTTAATATCCTCTCCGTAGGATCCTGTGACTCTCACTCATCTTTGCGCTTTCTCTCTCTCCCTTCTTGTGTTGGGTACCCAAACCCCAGTCTGTAGCAGGTGTTCATCAGCTGATCTGCACCCCAGGGGCGCCTGTTCTTTTTCCTTGCTCTCCTTGGTGAAGGTAGTAGCAGCTTTCATTGCCTGTGTACGGTGCTAACCATCTAACCCTTGTTCTCAGGAATGCTAGACAAGCGCTCCATTGCTGGGCTGCTCTCTGGCCCCCCTCCAGCCCTTTCTTTCCGTGTAGCTTAGAGCTTGGTCTTTGAGTGTTAAACCTTTTCTAGCATTTAACCTGTTAATGATCAGATTCCTTCCTTTGGATCCATTTAAGTCTGCCTTTGTTATATTTCTAAAAAACCTTTGGCCGGGCTCTGGTGGCGCACGCCTTTATTGGTAGATCTCTGAGAGTTCCAGGCCAGCCTGATCTACAAAGTGAGTTCCAGGACAGCCAGGGCTGTTATACAGAGGAACCTTGTCTCAAAAAACAACAGCAAACAACCTTTAAAGCATTAACTGTTGTTAATTAGACTCTGTCTCTGTCTTTGTTCATGTATTGTGTATGTTTCTGTTCCTGTCTGTCGATAGGTCATACACACAGCCCTCCATGCTTCCTTCATGGTCAGGAGAGCCAGGATTATAGTCATGCACCTGGCCTGTTTCACCTGGAGACAGCATCTCATGTAGCCCTAGCTGGCCTGGAACTCGCTGTATAGACTGTGCTAGCTAAGAACTCACAGAGGTCCAACTGCCTTTGCCTCAGAGTGCTGGGATTAAAGGTGTATGTCGGCATGCCAAGCCCAGTTTTCTATTACAGTTGAGGAAATCATTGAAGTTCATAATTAATATCATACTTGTAGGAACTAAAGTGAAGAATTTCTACTGTGTATTTAGGAGTTCATTAAAAGAAGAACTTGACCCAGAAATTGAATTATCGGTTGAGAATTGTAGCTCAGTAGTCGAGCCCATGTTTCCTGTGTGAAACCTTGGGTTTGATCCCCAGCACTACACATTTTTGGTGTTGTGTTTTTACTGTCTTGAGGCATGGTCTCACACAGGTCAAGGTGGCCTTGATCTCTTGAGTCTCTGCTTCCCAAATACAATACAAGTTTATTGTAATAGATCAGCTGTCCTGGAACATGTTGGCCGTGAACTCACAGAGATCTCCTTGCCTCTGCCTCCTGTCTCTGCCTCCTGAGTGCTGGAATTAAAGGCATGCACCACCAGGCAAGGCTCCTGCAGACATTCTTGATGTGATGGTAATGTCTGAAATATGTTTTTCCTTTAGGCTCCTATATATTGGAGTAGTTTTTATTGGCTGGACTAGAATATAATTGCCAAAGTTGGGAAACTACTAATAAAAAGAATAAGAATAGATACAAGAATTGCTATAAGAATAGACATCAAAATAAAAAAAATAAAGGTCTGTTTGGGAAACTCAAAACAATGACAGATCACGCCCTCCCCTGCCACACTTAATGGATAATGACTATTTCAACTCTTGCTCAAGTGAAGCTGTGGGGACCGTGTCTAGTGCGCTTGTTACTTAGCATGAAAGGAGCTCGTTGTGGGTTGGCATCACGGTCTCTGGTGTTTAATGCTGGCAAGGCTGTGGCTGGATGGAGAAGCAGCTTTTCTCAGGCCTGGAGGAGTGCGTGACTGATGCAGGAGCCTGGGATTCCTGTCTCACTTCATCAGATCTGACTGTGGGAGTCATCTCTCTTCTATTTTACTGTCTCTACTTTTGGATCACAGTGCCTACACAGACAGCATCAAAACTGGTAGCTAAGGATGAAAGGAAGGCGCTTTCGTGCTAGAGAGCAGTTCTAGAAACCCAGACATTTTCCTGGCTGCCGCTCACTCATCCGTCCTCTGAGTCATGTATTGTTTGGCTTGGTCTTCTCATGCCCAGATTTTGTAATGTTGGTTACGTTAGGTTTGTTTGTTTTAAACATCTTCATCGAGGTGGCATCACCTGCCGAGAGCATTTAGTTGAGTGCTTTTTAATCCACATAGAACGGAATCTCTACAATCTTGGCTGAGAACATTTTCAGCCACCCAAAAAGAAGCCTGTGCTCATCAGCCATCAGCTTTCATTCTCCAATTTTCTCCCCACTGTTCCTTCCTCTTGATGCTTCTCCGTCTCCCTCAGCTGGCTCAGCCACAGTGATTTCCCTTTGGTCTGTGGAATGGTCTGGTCTGAACATTTCATATCACTGGAGACATTCACTGGCCCTCTGTGGCTGGTGCTTTTCACTTCTGTCACGTTTTCAAGGTTCATCCGTGCTGTGTCAGTACTTGGTTCCTTCCTTCTTTCCTTCCTTTCTTCCTTCCCTTCCCTTTCTTTTTTTTTTTTTTGAAAAAAGTGTGTTGTGTATGTGTATGTGTGTGTGTACGACTATGAGGAACCAGTTCCTTTCTTCCACTGTGGGTTCTTAACAAACTCGGGTTGTCAGATGTGGTTGTTCGAATGTAACTGCCCCTATAATCTCATAGGAAGTAGCACTATTAGGAGGTGTGGTTTTTGTTGGAGTGGGTATGGCCTTGTTGGAGGAAGTGTGTCATTGTGGGGCGGGCTTTGAGGTTTCCTGTGCTTGGGATACTGCTCAGTGAGTCAGTCAACTTCCTGCTACCTGCAAGGTGTAGGTCTCTCAGCTACCAGCTCCACATCTGCCTGCACACCACCATACTCCCTGTTGTGATGATAATGGGCCAAACTGAAACTGTAAGCGAGCCACCCAATGAAATGTTTCCTTCATAAGAGTTGCTTGGTCATGGTGTCTCTTCACAGCAATAGAAACCCTAAGGCATCATGTTTGTATAGCAAGTGATTTTATCCAGAGTCATTTATTTAACTTAATAGTGTTTTTATCTTTGTGTGTGAGTTCATGTTTTGTGTGTGTCATGTGTATGTGTGTACCAGGACAGCCTCCAGTGTTAGCTCTCCCCTTCCATATGAGACAGTATGAGACAGTGACTCGTTGTTCTGCCACCATGTATTCCAGCCAACTGCCCTGAGCTTGTAGGGATTCTCCTGTCTACTCACATTTCCCTGGACACTGGGGTTACAGATGTTCACTGCTGCCTTATGTAAATTCTGGGAATTTGAACTCAGTCCTCATGCTTGTACAGCAAGTGCTTTAATAACTGAGCCATCTTTCCGCCCCTCTTGATTCCTTTAAAAAAATACATATATATACACACACATATACATGTTGGTTTAATTTATCAGTTTCTACAATCCAGTGTCTCATAGCAGCTATTGTTTTTGTACATTACCATTTAAAAAATTGAAAGTCAACAAAACACCATACAGGATCCAGACATACTGTATTTCCCATCTTTACATGGCTATGTTTTTATATTACTTTACTCTCTATAAAGACTTTATTTTGCTATTTATAAACTATTTACTTTTTTTCAATGACAGTCTATATGCATTTTCTTCAGCAACTAAAGCACATTTTTAAACATACTGTACTTTTTTTTTTTTTTTTTTTGAGACAGTGTTTCTCTGTGGCTTTGGAGCCTGTCCTGGAACTAGCTCTTGTAGACCAGGCTGGCCTCGAACTCACAGAGATCCGCCTGTCTCTGCCTCCCGAGTGTTAGGATTAAAGGCGTGCCCCACCACCACCTGGCTCATACTGTACCTTTTTAGAGGTTTTTCTGCATCTGGACCTGGCTTTACTAAACATCTGCAGTGTTTTCTGACCATGTGAGACAAATCTTTTAATTGTTTTTATTGAGCTATATATTTTTCTCTACTCTCCTCCCTTCCTCCCCACTACTCTTCTACCCTCTCCCATAATCCTCACACTTCCAATTTACTCGGGAGATCTTGTCTTTTTCTACTTCCCATATAGATTAGATTCATGCATGTCTCTTTTAGGGTCCTCTTTGTTTATTTTCTCTGCGATTGTTAATTGTACGCTGGTTTTCCTTTGCTTTATGTCTAAAAGCCACTTATGAGTGAGAACATATGATATTTGTCTTTCTGGGTCTGTATTACCTCACTCAATATGATGTTTTCTAGATCCATCCATTTGCCTGCAAATTTCAAGATTCCACACCCCCNCCCCCCCTGTAAATGTACCACATTTTCTTTATCCATTCTTCGGTCGAGGGGTGTTTAGGTTGTTTCCAGGCCCTGGCTATGACAAACAATACTGTTATGAACATAGTTGAGCACATGTCCTTGTAGTACATTTGAGCATCCTTTGGATATACACCCAAAAGTGGTATTTCTGGATCTTGAGGAAAGTTGTTTCCTAATTTTCTGAGAAATAGCCACACTGACATCCAAAGGGCCTGTACCAGCTTGCATTCCCACCAGCAATGGAGGAGTGTTCCCTTCCCCCACATCCTCTCCAGCATAAGTTGTCATCAGTGTTTTTGATCTTGGCCATTCTTACAGGTGTATGAAATCTCTGAGTTGTTTTGATTTGCATTTCTCTGATGGCTAAGGATGTTGAGCATTTCCTTAAGTCTCTTTCAGCCATTTTAGAGTCCTCTGTTGAGAGTTCTCTATTTAGGTCTGTACCCCATTTTTTTTTATTGGATTATTTGTTCTTTTGATAACCAATTTCTTGAGTTCTTTATATATTTTGGAGGTCAGCCCTCTGTCCGATGTGGGGTTGTTGAAGATTTTTTTCCATTCTGTAGGTTGCCGTTTTATCTTGTTGACCGTGTCCTTTGCTTTAAATGAAGCTTCTCAGTTTCAAGAGGTCCATTCATTGTTTCTCTCAGTGACTGTGCTACTGGATTATATTTAGGAATTGGTGTCCTGTGCCAATGCTTTCAAGTGTACTTCCCACTTTCTCTTCTTTGAGGTTCAGTGTGGTTGGTTTTATGTTGAGGTCTTTGATCCATTTGGACTTGAGTTTTGTGCATGCTGATAGTATGGGTCTATTTTCATTCTTCTACATGTTGATATCCAGTTATGCCAGCACCACTTTTAAATATGCTTTCTTTTTTCCATTTGATATAGTCTGCTTTTTTTTTTTTAATCAAATATCAGGTGTTCGAAGATGTGTAGATTGATATCTGGGTCTTTTGTTCGGTTTCATTGGTCCTCCTTTCTGTTCTTATGCCAATACCAGGCTGTTTTCAGTACTGTAGCTCTGTAATAGAGTTTGAAGTCAGGGATTGTGATGCCTCCAGAAGTTCCTTTATTATACAGGAATGTTTTGGCTATCCTGGGTTTTTTCTTTTTCATATGAAGTTAAGTATTGTTCTTTCGAGGTCTGTGAAGAATTTTGCTGGGATTTTGATGGGCATTGCATTGAATTTGTAGATTGCTTTTGGTAAGATGGCCGTTTTTACTATGTTAATTTTACCTATGCAAGAGCATGGGAAATCTTTTCATTTTCTGGTGTCTTCTTCAGTTTCTTTCTTCAAAGATTTAAAGTTCTTTTCATATAGGTCTTCCACTTGTTTGGTTAGAGTTACTCCGAGATATTTTATGTTATTTGTGGCTATTGTGAAAGGTGATGTTTCTCTGATTTCTTTCTCATCCCATTTCTCATCTGTGTAAAAGAGGGCTATGGATTTTTTTGAGTTAATCTTGTACTCTTGGTTTCTTTTAATGGCTGAATAATACTGCAACATGTGTACTATGTTTTATTTTATTATTCCATTCATTAGTTGGATAAACGTTTGAATTGATTCTATGCTTATGATTTATGATTAAAATCTGCTATGAACATTTCTGGTTTTATTTTTTGTTTTGAGACAGTTTTTTTTTGTTTTGAGACAGTTTTGCAATGCTTTTCTGGCTGGCTTAGAACTTGCTATGTTAATCAGGCTGGCATTGAGCTCACAGAACTCTGCCTGCTTCTGCCTCCTAGAGTTGGACTTAAAGGCATGTGCTACCATGTAGCTCTTCTGTGGACATTTGTTTCCATTATCTAGACGTGTACCTGGTCATGTGGTAAACTTAGCTATAGAGGAATTGCATTTAATATTTCTACCAGCAACGTGTGAGTTTCAGTTTCTATCTTTGTCAGCTTATTGTTGCTCTTTCTGGTTACAGGAGGCATACGGTGGGTTTTGCTTGTTTTTGAGTTCCAGTCCCTATTCTTAGTGATGGGGAGATCTTTCCGAGAGCTTATTGGCTATTTCCAGCTTTTCTGTGGAGAGACTCCAGTACCTGGCTTTTCTTTTTATGCTATGAGAGTTGTTTACCTGCTTCGGGTGTAAGTTCCTTTTATGACACATGATTTGTGAGAGTGTTTTGGGGTTAGAACATATGGGGGGGGTGTTTGCTGGCACAGCACAGTTTGCAGTTTTGATGTAGTTCAATTTGCCTGTCTGTGCAGTATTTCAGTAGAACTCACCTGTCTTCAAACCCTCTTCTGACCTGCTGGGATTTCATTCCTAGAGAACAAGGGTTTTTTTCTGATTTTATTATGAAGACGTTCAGTCACTTTGTCTCATGTGAATAATCGTATGTTGATCCGGTCAGAGCTGCTGTGTAAGGAATTCTTCCCTTGAAGTTCTGTCTGGAAAATGTCCCTGTGAGAGTACTACCTTTCTGCGTGCTGTTTGGGAGAGTGGTTGTCAGCTGGGCTGATTTGATTGCAGAGATGGTCTCAGTGGCAAAGGGACAATGTGTAGTGGGCGGAAGCCAGGGAGCTGTGGAACCAGCTGCAGTGTGCTGGACGGTCCCACAGCACAGGGTTAACCAGCTCCAGTGGCAGACTAGCTGGAATTGAGAACGGTGCAACTGAAGACCCCAACACTGAAGGCTTTTTCTTCTGTTCCTGTCCTGATCACTAATTAAATAGAAGAAACTCTGTAGGCTGTGAACGGTAACAGACGTTGCAGATTGAATTGGGGAACATTTTGTTGACTTCTCAGCGTTGCCAATTTATATGTAAACTACCCTGCCATGTGCTTACTATTTGGAGGAGAAATACCAGTTGGACTAAGAACAAATTGTTCCCTCCACCTCAGCCTCCTAGACACACATCTTGTCAGATAAGCACAGTGGGCTTTTAGCTAGACACTGAAGTGGTGCTCTTCTGAGACTTTGAAGGTAAAAGTTAAGAACTGACCTTCTCTTGACTTCCAGTCTTTAGCTTGCTCCTATCATTTATGCAACCAGTTTTATTTTCCTTGGAATCTGCTTGTTTGGAGGTAACTTTTTTTTCCTGTCGTGCTGGAGATGGAACCCAAGGCCTCCTGCTACTCAGCCATGCACAAGACTTGTGAAGCTGAGGGCTGGAGAGATGGCTCAGCTGTTAAGAGTGTGTACTGCTTTTGGGGACTTGTTTGGTTCCCAACACTCATGTCAAGCACTCCATCTAGCTCCAGGGGCTCTGACAACCCCTTTTGACCCTTGTGGGACACTGTCATGTCCACAAATGCACACACAGAGACACACATACACACGCATAATGCACATAATTCAAAATAAAATATTTTTTAAAAGATTCTTAAGGGAGCTGGCCATAGTGGTACATAATTTAATCCCAGTGCTTAACTGACTGAGGCAGGAGAACTGTGAGTTCAAGGCCAGCCAAGGCCACACAGGAGACACTGTTGAAACAAAACCTAAGTAGCATAGCTTATCTAAGAATGTGAGCTCTGTATTCAGGTTTCCTAGGCATAAGTCTTAGTGTTAGCATTTGCTGTGTGTCCTTGGACAAGATACTTAGCCCAGTGTTAATCTCCCTTTTGACGTGTGGAATGATGATGGAGTAGTATGTATCTTGCAGGAGTGTTGTGCAGGGCACTTAGAACACTTAACACAGTGCCTGTTGGCATTAAGTGACTGTCCCCTGTCCTGTGCTCTTCCAGCCCATTGCTATGGACAGTGCCATCACTCTGTGGCAGTTCCTTCTTCAGCTCCTGCAGGAACCTCAGAATGAGCACATGATCTGCTGGACATCTAACAATGGGGAGTTCAAGCTTCTGCAGGCTGAGGAGGTGGCTCGTCTCTGGGGAATTCGCAAGAACAAGCCTAATATGAATTACGATAAGCTCAGCAGAGCCCTGAGATACTACTATGTAAAGGTAAGCACCTGCCCTGACACTATACAGAGAACCTCAAAACAAGGTGTTGAGTACTACTGTGGCTTACTTAGCTCAGTTTATTTAACAACTTAAGTGATTTTGATTATATTCTGACAGACTCCTTAAAAGTTTTTAAATATTATCTTCATCGGTACCCATGTGGAGGTCAGAGGACGACTTGTCAGAGTTAGTTCTCTCCTCCCATCATGGGCGTCCCAGGGATCAAATTCAGGTAATCAGGCTTGGAAGTCTGTGTATCATGTCCATACAGTGTCCCCAGGTGCCAGAAGAGGGCATCGCCCCATTGGAACTGGAGTTACCAACAGTTGTTAGCTACCTGACGTGGGTCTGGGAACTGAGCTCAGGTTCATGCTCTTAACCACTGGGCCATCTCTCTAGCCCAGAATTTTATTTTTACTATCTTATGACTTTTGAATATTTTCTTGGAGAAAAATACACACCTCCAAAGAATGGACTTAGAGTAAAAGTCTGAGCTGTTGCTTCCTCCGCCTTGCAGGAGCTGACCTTTTTGGCCTTCCTGAGGTAAGGTCATGCTCTGAGACCCCTTAGCTTCCTCAGAATGCTTATGGTTTACTCCACTGGACCCGTTTGAGATTGGAGTTGAGTGAGTTCTGATTTAATACAGGTGTTTGATGGGGAGAGTCAGACAATCACAGCCTCAGCCCATATGTGCTGTCTTAGTCCAGTTGCTCAGGAGGCTTTGGACTGCTTTAATTTCTCTGAGCAGGCACTGTGTTTGGCCTGGGTAGATGAACATTGATGCTTTTGAAGCTTTTTTAAAGCTATGCATAGTTCTCAAATAGGGCACTCATTAGGTTCCCTTTTGCATGAATTGTGAGATGTAAATTTATTAGTAAGTTTGAGTGTGCTTATCTTTTCTGTCTACAGAACATCATTAAAAAAGTGAATGGTCAGAAGTTTGTGTACAAGTTTGTCTCTTATCCAGAGATTTTGAAAATGGATCCACTGACAGTAGGCAGGATTGAGGGAGACTGTGAAACTCTAACCTCCATTGAAGCCAGTAGTTCCAAAGATGCTGAGAGCGGGGTAAAGGAACGGGCACCTCAACCTACAGCCAAGACATCTAGTCGGAATGACTACATACACTCTGGTTTGTATTCTTCATTTACTCTCAACTCTTTGAACACCTCCAATAAGAAGCTTTTCAAGTCAATAAAGATAGAAAATCCAGCTGAAAAACTGGCAGAGAAAAAACCTCAGGAGCCAACACCAACTGTCATCAAATTTGTAACAACACCTGCTAAAAAACCACCCATCGACCCTGTTGCCATCACCTTCTCAGCAAGCCCAAGCATTTCTCCGTCTTCTGAAGAAACTATCCAAGCTTTGGAGACACTGGTTCCTCCCACACTACCTTCTCTGGAAGCTCCAGCCTCTGCATCCATTCTGGCTACCACCTTTAACCCCACTTCTCCTGTTCCCTCCGCACCCCCTCCTAGGACGCCTTCTCCGCCATTGAGTTCTAACCCAGACATTGACACAGACATCGACTCAGTGGCTTCTCAGCCAATGGAACTTCCAGAGAACTTGTCACTGGAGACTAAAAATGAGGATTCAGCTTTGCCAGAAAAGGACAAAACAAATAACTCATCAAGATCCAAGAAGCCCAAAGGGTTAGAACTGACACCTGCCCTTGTGGTCACAGGCAGTGACCCCAGCCCTCTGGGGATCTTAAGTCCATCGCTCCCAACAGCGTCTCTTACACCAGCACTTTTCTCACAGGTAACTTGCTTTGCTCTTTCTCTTAAGTAGGACTGCATTTATTCACCTTTTAAATTGTCTTGAGAGTTTATACCTGTAAAATTCAATTTCTGCTAATTAGGGCTGTCTTAGAAAGGTTATATATAAACTGGGAAATTCATTACTTTACCTTAACTAGAATCTGCAAAACAAAAAAGATTTGCCATTTCATCTTTTATAATGTATTGTTCTTGGGCCGAGGATGTAGCCCAGATGGTAGACTGCTTGCCTATCATGCACAGATCCCTGGGCTCCATCCCCAGCATTGAATAAACCAGACATGGGCTGCATACCTGCAATCCCAGTACTCAGGAGGTAGAGGCGGGAAGATCAGAGGTTAAAGGTCATGTTTGACTACATTGCCAGTTTGAGAGCAGCCTGGGCTACATGAGATTAAATAAGCAGAAGTCATTGATCTGCAAGGCTTTCTGTCTCCTAAAGAAATCAAAATCAGAGACTCCCTTAAAACTGTTGCTGTCTTAGGAGAGAGAAAACAAGTGACTGAGAGCCTTGAGAGAAGGAATGTGTGGCTTTGTGCTTACCTAGTTACATTATGTATTAACTTAATACATAATGTATTAAGATTCCCCAGAGCTTAATACAAGAGCTCTGGGGAGCTCTTGGAGATCACCCCAGATGGTCTGATATTATAGGGACTTGGCTGTTGTTCTTTTGTACCGGATTTAGGTTTGCTTTCTAGTTTGGAAAGACCATGTAAAAGTCCGGTTATAAAGTGATATTGTGGCCATTACCTTTCCTAGATTATAAAGGGATTTCTGAGCTTTTCATCATGATAAAATTTTGGGCTTAGAGATGTTTGGGGAGGAGAAGGACATGTTATGTGGATTCTGTTTGTATCTTTGGAATGATCGAGCAATCCTGGCAAGTCCTTGAGCAATCTTCTTGTGTGTTGCAGACACCCATCTTGCTGACTCCAAGCCCCTTGCTCTCCAGTATCCACTTCTGGAGTACCCTCAGCCCATTTGCTCCCCTGAGCCCAGCCAGGCTGCAAGGTGCTAATACGCTTTTCCAGGTAAATTACACAGTGTGCCTCTTGTCATTGGGGAATGTGTACTGCAGAAATGGGCAGGGGTTGTGCTCAGTGTCATTGTCACACACGACTGCAGAGTACTTTGCTTTTCCTTGTGGTGCAGTATGTGATTGGGGGACTGTGGCTCTCAATTGCTGCCCAGCATAGCAAGAAACTTTCATACTGAAAATTGCTAGCCCAGAAAAATACTGTTCAAGGTATAGTTTCTATTGAATGCATATGGCATTTTTTGTGCTCTGTTAAGTTAAACCTCTGTAAATCAGGCAGTCTGTGTACATATATAACTAATGTGTGTACATACAAAGCCAATATGAGGTCGCATTTAATGCAGTTTTGATTGGAATTGCATACCTACACACATACACAACCTAGTTCCCTTGCTTCTCCTCCTTCTGTTCTCTTTGGAACCCTTCTTCATCCTTCTTCACAACATCATCCTATGTTTATGTCTTTTGGTTTTTGTTTTGTTTTGTTTTTTGGTTACTTGCCTTGCATGAGTGGGTTTGGGCTTATTACTGGATCTGGGGCTACATCCCTGAAGAAAAGTCAACTCCTCCTCAGTCAGCAGCTCCTCTCCTCTCCGTGCTGGAATGTTGACTTGCTTGATTTTGCTTGATCTAGTGTGAGTAATTGGAGCTGCTGTGAGTTAATGACAGAAAGAAACACCATGTCACACTGAGAAAAAAGTATATCACAGCACTGTTCCCATCCTGTCTGCTCCATCACAATGCTTCCTGAGTCTTGGGGTGTATGTGTGCATGTGTGTGTTTACTATAGACATCCCATGCCACAGACACTTACTTGCTGCACTTTTCTGGTGTGAGTCTCAATATTAACCATCATGTATTGCAAAAAGAAGCCTCTCTAGAGCTGGAGAAGCTGCTCAGCACTTAAGAGAGTGCATTGCTCTTGCTGTGGACTGGAGTTCAGTTCCCAGCCCCGCTTTGGGCACCTGCACTCACATATACAAACCTATACACACAGACATATAATTTTTTTTTTAAGAAAAAGCTTCTCTTATGGGGGTTGAGAGCTGCATTCATCACTTGCTGAAAATGTTAAGTATTTAGAAGGCTGTTTGACAACATGTCCATTTAGCAAAACAATAATACTATGTCCCTTTAAGGCCTATGAACACCCCAGCCAAGGGCTTTGACCAGATTTATAGTACTAGGCATGGACTCTCAGCTGTGAAGTGGGCTTTAAGTCTAATTAACAAAAGTGGTTGGTTACTCTCATAATATTGATGGTACAGTAGCACCAGTACACATGTTGTCTGGCAGGTCAGTATTTCAGCATGTAAGATCCATTGCCAGGTAATATCACTGGTGGCTCTTCTCTTCCAGAGGCCTACATACCATGTTCCTGCACTATGAAAGCTAGCCAGCTTGATTTCTCTGGCCTGCAACCAAAGTGCGTGGTGTCTTTAGCAATAGGTCTTAGCAACAGGTGGGCAACCAAGAGCAGTAGCAATAGCCTACATTGTTCCTGAGGACTCCCTGGCCAGCAGCTCAGAAGGAGGTATCCCGTGCTTGGCACTGCCATTTGTTTAATTGCCCATGACTTCTGGGCGCAGCATTATTCACCCATGCAAGGTATCTTCATTCAAACTACTTTTTTTAAAAAATATTTTTTTAATTATCTTACAAAGTAGTAAATTCCATTAAGAATTTTAAAGTACTTCAGTTTTGGTTTATCTCCCACTCCCTTCTTTCTCCTCCTTCCTTCCCATTCCCATACCTGCTTAAATTTTTCATTCTCAGTCCCCTCGTCCCCTGCAGCACACGTGTGCCACTGTTGACAGGGACACATTCTGAGAAAGGAATCATTGAGTAGTTTTTGTTTTGTGTCATCATGTCGTACTTACGTATGATGGGATAGCCTGCGACGCTGTGTGTATGTGAGGTGCAAGGTGAGGAATAATTCTGGACCTCACGCCTGTAATCCCAGAGTAATCCCAGCACTTGGGAGACGAGGGAGGAGAGTCACGGTGAGCTTGAGCTACATAGTTCCAGGCCAGCCTAAGATAATGTGACCCTGTCTAAAAACACAGTGGAAACTGAGATTTAAGTCCAAGGCTGCTGGTGCTAAGAGAACACTAAAGTAATAATGGTGAACAGTAAATATATCAACCAGTGATGTTTTCATGACTAAGTTCACAACCCTGTGTGCTGCACTGGTACTCTCCTACAGGGAGCCCTGCAGTGGCTGATTGACACAAGCACCTGAGCAGTGTGTGACACGAAGACTCGAGGATAACCATAACGCTGATAGAGATTTCAGCTTCACAGAAATATGCTCTGCCTGACTCTGAGTGCACAGTGCTAGGGGCAGATTCTGCCCGTAGGTTTCTCTCTTTAAAATTTAATTGTTTGTAGGTTCCCACTTTTAATTACATTTAATTTAATTTTTTTTGAAAATTTTAAGTGAGTTATTCCTTTTTATTTTATGTGTGTTGGTGTTTTACTTGCATGTGTGTCTGTGAGAGAGTGTTGGATACCCTGGAACTGGAGTTACAGACAGTTGTGAGCTGCCATTTGGGTGCTGGGAATTGAACTGGGTCCTCTGGAAGAGCAGCCAGTGTTTTTAACCACTGAGCCATCTCTCCAGTCCCCCCCCCCCTTTTCTTTTAAAGAGGAAAATCTTGAGACTCTTGTATCAGTTACCTCTCAGAGTTGATATATGCCAGCATTTTCCTGCTGAGCCATCCTCCCAGCCTGTATCAGCACTTTAACTATGAAGTTTAGGAACTGAATTTTGTGTTATCTCCCCACCAAGGTATTAGGAAGGGTCTTGTATTGAGGTTTCAGATCACTCTTAATGCTCCCCATAACCCAGGGAGAACTACTCCTCATAAAAAGTAAAAATGAAATATTGCAAAACTTAATGCTCTCCTCATTCAGTAACATTTAGTAATCTGATCTCACCTTTGTCCTGCCCCAAGCATTTAGATTCTAAACGGCAGGCCTTCTTCTAGCTGGCTTATTTACTTCTGGGGTGACTGGCTCTGGGCACTTTTCTTATGTTTTATAATTAATCATTTGTTCTCTCAAGAATAAAATAAGACCACATCTGCTGCCACCTGCCTATAATCTCACTTACTTCAAAGGCAGAGTTCAAGGCCAGCCTGGGTAGCTTCTTGAGACTTGATCTCAATATTATAAAGGAAGGATGTGGATATATAGCTCAGTGATGACATCCTTGCCTGGCACATGTTCCTGATACTCTAAAAAATAGAAATATCATAAGGAGGGCTGGGTGTGATGGCACAAGCCTATGACGGCAGCACCTGAAAGGGACGTAGAAAGTGGATGTTGAACAGCAGGGGATACTAGGCTACAGAATCAGACACTGGGATTTATTTATTTATTTTGAGACAGGGTTTTTCTATGTAACATTCCTGACTATCCTGGAAGTTGCTTTGTAGACCAGGCTGGCTTTGAACTCACTGAGATCCACCTATCTCTGCCTCTTGAGTGCTAGGATTAAAGGTGTGCACCACTACTACCTGGCCAGACACCGGTTTTAAAAAAGGAAAAACAACAGCAGTCAGGAGGCAGAAAAAAGCGGATCTCTGTGAGTTTGAGGCCAGCCTGGTCTACAGAGCAAGCTCCAGGAGAGGCTACAGAGAAACCCTGTCTCGAAAAACAAGCAAGACAAAACAAAAAGGAAAAACAAAACAAAAAAAAAAACAAAACAAAACAAACAAAAACCTCCAACATCTTAGGGACTGGGGTCTGAGTAACTCAGTGGTAGTTAGGCTGTGGATTTGGTCCCAGCACCAGATTCCACCCTGAGGCTGGTCCGTTTCTGCCTGATTTGTTTGTTTGTTTGGTTTTTGGTGTGATACTGGGGATTGGATTTGGAGCCTTGGGTGTGTGTGGAATATGCATCACTGCTGTCCTCTGCCTCCCCCCCAATTCCTAAATTATTGGATGTTACTGTATGGGAAGAGCATCGAGAGGTTTTTTTCCCTGTTACGTTTTTAGTTCTCCGTATGTGGGGAGTGGTTCTCCCCAGAAGAAGCGGAGTGTGGAGCCGTCTGAAACCTTAAGCTGCTCCTGTGCTGTGCAGGCACTCTTAAGAATGTTGGGCCTCTGATTTCTAGGATTAGCATCTGGTAATCACTGTGCCTCTCTGGTCTTCTTGTTGAGGGTTCAGGGTTGACCCTGTTACTATCCCCTGTAGTGAGTATTGTCATTTAATGAATTTCTTAACCCTTTGAGGTTAGATGTGAAGGTCTGTATCAGGATCATTAGGGTAAAGGTAGATTAGAAAGAGTTAGTCTATACATTGTTAGGACAAACACAGTTTTTAAAAAAAAATTTATTAAAAACATTTTTTATGCAATATAGTTTGATCATATTCTTTCTGCTCCCCCAACTCCTCCAACTCCTTCTCACTTCCTTACCCACACAACTACAGCCCCCCCCCCCCCCCCCCCCCCCCCCGCGCTTCTCACTATCTAATAAATACATGGTCTGTTTATCTCTTAAAAACCAACAGAAAGCTGAATGGTGGTGGCACATGCTTTTAATCCCAGCACTCAGGAGGCAGAGGCAGGTGGATCTCTGTGAGTTTGAGGCCAGCCTGGTCTATAGAGTGAGACTCTGTCTTGAAAACAACCAAAAAAAACCCAACAAAAAAATGTTAATCAAATAGACAAAACTAAAAATAGATCAATAAGACAGAAGAAAAAAACTCAACAACAAAAACCAGGGAGTCTGTTTTGTATTGGCTAATTACTCCTTGTCATGGGGTCTGGAGTATGGTTGGTGTACCCAGGAACGGTTCATGGAGAAGACTGATTTTTCCCTTTGCCAGCAGGGATAGCGATTGCAAATAGCTTCTGGGAGGACAAAGAAATTTTTGTTTGTATGTCTTTGCCACATAATATTTTGGGCCTGCGAGATGTCTCAGTGGGTAAAGTACTCGCTGTGCAAGTCTGGCAGCCTGTCTGATTCCGGGAACTCACGTAGAGGTGGAAGGAGAGAACAGCCTTTACAGTGTGGTCTCTGACATCACACTGTTGCCGTGGTGCCTGTGTGTGTACCACCCTACCCTGCCCCACATGTGAAATGCATTGTAGTCTTCTGTGAGAAGACATGTCTTGTGTTCGTCCTGCCGTTGGGGAATAGGAGGGACAGAAAGTGGAAGCAGAGGTTGTGATAAGATGCTGATCTGCTTTTGTCTCCTCAGTTTCCTTCTGTGCTCAACAGTCATGGACCATTCACTCTGTCTAGCCTGGATGGACCTTCTACTCCTGGCCCATTTTCTCCAGACCTGCAGAAGACATAACCCGTGCAGTTGGGAACTAAGAGACCAAGGAACTAAGAAACAGAGATGTCCAGCAGGATGGTTTGAAATGAGGGATAGTTCTGCAGTGCTCTTATAGACTGTCGTAATTTTCCCATTGCCTGTTGAAAACCTTTTCGGGATTCTCAAAAGTTGGACTGTATAAAAATGCCTTAATTGGAGTTCAAACTCCGCCTCACTTCTTTTTTAAAAAGGTGTTTTGTTGTTGTTGCTGTTTTTTTGTTTGTTTAAGCTTTGTGCAAAAAACATTAGTCTCTTGGGGTTCAGCAGCTGTGTTTCGCAAGAAAGCCGCAGAACAAAGTTACTGGTCCTGGATGTTAGGACTCTTTGGCCAGGGGGAAAAGTATGCTTAGAATTTGTTATTTAAAGAAATAGTTGTTAGCTGTGTATGATGACCCGCTTTGTGATCCCAGCACTTGGGAAGCTGAGGCAGGAGGAGAACACCAAGAGTTGAGGGCCAGCCTGGGCTATAAATAAAGTGAGACTGTCTCAAAAGGATAAAAATACTACTTAAACGAAGTTGATGGTATGTTTAGTAGTAAGTGTGCTCTGTTGAATGACTAAAAGGAGCCACTCCCTAACAGTGGGAGAGAGAATCATTCCTGTTCTGAGGAGGATTAGAGCATTACCACATGGGAGGCTCTCTGTGCTCTACCCTTGATCTCGTCTGAACCTGTCAATGGATCCTGGCCCTGAGCTTTTTAAACATAAGACTTTGAAAGCTCAGTTTTAATGTGGGCTTTGGTAGGAATTACAGGACCCTACCTGGGGCACAGCACTCTCGTCTGCTCTGAGTGGTGTGGTTCTGTGCAGCACGTCTTGGAAAATGATGACTTTTCGGAAGTAGAGTTGGGGTTTGAAAATTGAATATTAGAAGCAAGCAAAAAAAGTTCATTTGAATACCCTGAGACACAGGTGGGGCATTTTCCAGCTAGAAGACACCCAGAGTGACAGACTCCCTCTTCTTCTTCCTCCTAATTTTACCCACTGTGCTCTGCACTTACAGGCTTTCTTCTAAACCTACGGTCAGAGGATGAAGCAGCATTCATTCAGGTGCAGTCAGGAAGGTGGACTTGAAAGTGAAATATTCTGGTCAGGAAATAAAGATGTGCTTACTTGTTTCCAAAAACGTTTTAAATGAAGGAAGATCAGATTGCATTTGGGCATTCTCATACATAGGAATATGGCTGTTAAATTAGTAGTGAGAACTACTTTCATTACTACGGACCTTCATCTGCAGATTGCCATCTATAAAATGCTGTGTGTAAGTCAGAGTCAGGTGCACACAGGCACATTGATCTCTCAGTCTGAATTGAGGGCAATATCACAGCAGAATCTTGAAAATTTCGACTCTACAGTCCAGAACTGAATTAAATTACATGCCCTGCCCTCCACCCATTAAACCCCAGACATGACCAGAGTGGAATGACGTAGGGACCTGCAGCCTCAGAATGACACTGATGCAGAGTGACATCTTTCAGGTGCACAGCATTGGCTGTCCAGTGCAGAGATGCTTACGTGTGGAAGTGTGCTGGCTGGGTGAAGGGCAGGGCGGCAGTTGGAGACCTGTTACTGGTTCATTGTGGTTATCTAAGTGTCCTGTTCCCATGATGTGCAATAGTAGTAGGGCTGAAAGGTGGTGCTCAGAGTGCAGGGAGCAGGCACTGCAGTGGGCTTCCCTCCCATGGCGGAATATTTAGTTTGCATGCATATTTGGAATTACCCGCAGCAGCACTTTGTAGTAACTTAGTGGGTTTTCATTATGTATACTAAGTAAATACTGAGAGTTGACCTAACTAGATGTTTGCAGTTCTGAAAACATCCAGTTTTATCTTCTTGAGGTAAAGGAGAAAAGCCATTGGTTTGTTTTGACAGATGATATATTTGATAATTTACTGTTTTAGCACAGGGTGCCAAGGGCCCAAGGGCACCATTTAAACTCTGGCTGGGTGTAGTAGCGAGGTCTGTGATCCCAGCACTTGGGAAGTGGAAGCTGGAGGATCAAGAATCAGGGATAGCCTCAGCTACATAATGAGTTTGACACTAGCTTGGACTACATGAGACCTTGTCTTAAAAAAAAAAAAGAAGCAAAAAACTCAGAGCAAGTTAATAAGAAACCATGAGGCCTTGGGGGGTAGATGGACATGCTCTCTTCTTGAAATGAGTGAATTCCAGGAAGCGTGTGCTTGATCTCTGTGTGTGTGAGTTTCCGCCTTGCTGTGTGTGTGAGGCAGACATTTCTTTCTACCTCCTTCCTGAAAAAGTTTGAGCTTTGTATAGTGGAATAGCCATAGAATTCTTAGTGTCAACAGATAAGTATTCAGGGAGAATTCTGGACCTTCGGCTCACATCTGGTGTCCACCCAGCCACCTTGCCAGGCGAATGGTGGTCTCTAGGTCCTGGGACTGCCTGGGTTTGAAGGATCTGATGGTTTCCTTGTTTTCTGTGGCTCAGTGCGGTGGTGTCACACACCCCTATGTATACGTCTCTGGGTGCGTTTTCACTTGGCCTTTACTTTTGCTCTTACTCATACTGGTTTTTCTTAAAATACAAAATGAAAATGTCAGGTCTAACTTAAATAATCTTTTAATGATTTCTTAGAGTATTATTGTGATGTTACAGTCTCTGTGCCATAGTCTGTGTATTTGAATAAGGGTAGAAATTTCCACTGATTAAAAAAGTATATAATATATAACTGAATCTAGAAGCCCTCAAAAGGCCAACCTTAAGCTTCATCAAGTTAAAATATAAGTTTATTTTTCCTTACATTTTAACAGTTAAAATAAAATTTTTTTCACTGTGTTTATTGTTTTGTTTTGTTTTGTTTTTGAGATAGGATCGTTCTTTATCACCCTGGCTGACTTTGAACCAAATCTTAAATGCACAAGTGTCCACCACCAGGCCTGTTTTTTCAAATTTTGGTGGAGAAAGTAAGGCCATGAACTTGCATAGAGTACTGAATTTTTCTTCTTAACCTGGAAAATTCCTTTCAGATGTATACTATACTAGAGATCAAAAGGGGCAGAGTAGCTGGCCCGATACTGGAGGCTTGGTGTTCATGGCTTAATGCCAGCTGTTGATATTGCCAGTGTTATTTCGTTCACCTTGGCCTTGTGCTGCCTGAGGTCAGGTACTCTTACTGAGGCCTCTGGTTTTAGCATCTGAAAGGCAGCTTTGTGTGTGAAGTCTTCAGCCCCGTGCAGGCCCTCAGTGGAGGTACAGAGCAGTCTGCAGTCTTCTGGACACACACCTTGATTAGGAAAAGGTTTTCTTTTTGGTTTATTTTCTTTTTTGATTTTTGGGACTGGGTCTAAGTCTTTAGTCTAGGCTGACCTCAAACTCTCAGCAATTCTCCTGCCTTGGCATCCCAAGTACTGAGATTATGAAAGTGAGCTACTGTTTGGCATAGTAGAAGTTTGTCAACATAGAAATTTCTCTCAAAAAATATACATACATATCTCACTCTACTAAAGTCACAGTCCCACTCTACTGTACATACAAAGTGGAGGTTTAGCATACGAAGGAAATTCTACAAAGCATCCTGGCCTCTGAGCCCTTCCTGTACCCAGCAGATGCCTCTACACCTAGAATCAAACCATTTCCTAAATCATCACTCAACATGAAGGTGCTCATTTGGTTCTCAATACAGATTTTTTTTCTTTTAATGTGGAGAAATTCCAGCTTGAGATTTTCTGGAGCTTTGTCATAGCTTTTCAAATTTCCCAGTAATTCTTTCTCATGGGGATTCATTCCCAAATGCCTTCTGGATTCCGTGCATGTCCTGACAGCTCTTCCTTTTCATCTCTGTGTTACGCATGACTGACATTTTTATTTGTATAGTCTTCTTACAGACGTCTTTGGCCTTGTGTTGTATTTTACCAGCAGCCTCACGATTACGTTAGGACATTTATGCTAAAGTGTATGCCAGCTTCAGCTCTTGCTGGACTAGAAAGTGCTGTTTTTGTTGTGTCTTTATTTGGGACATTAAGCATCTGAAGGAATAGTTTACTCGATGGCTTGCTCTGTTTATCACTTATTTACTACACACGTGTCATCAGCCTGTGCCGAGAACTGGGAGTCATGCCATGGTGCCATTCTTTGGCTTGGGAAGGTATGGAGACAAGTGCAGGCCTGAGCAGAAACCCGAGGCTCGGCGTGGATTCCGAACCAACAGGATTGAGAGTGTTGATGCTGTAGTCTGTTGTCGGGTGGGGGCGGGGTCTTCCACACACAGCGCTGGGAAGGGTCTCCGGCAGACTCTTCCAGACACTGGCTTCTGTGGGAAGCGCTTTTTCTTCCTTTTCTTTCTAGGGCTGCTGTTGTCAGTGGTGGTGCTGCCCCGTCTTCTCTTACATTGTCGGAACTACTTACTGCAGGTGTGGGCTCCGTCTCTGAGCGGGCTCTTAGGGGTGATGGTGTGTCTTGTGCTCCGTGGAACTGGTCACTATCAGGGTCATGTCTTCACCTATAAACAGCAGATGGGAAAGGTCAGTTGTCATCAGACTGCAAGTCCAGCAAGTACTCCATCTCGAGCTGGCAGGCCTTCAAGCTGCCTTGCCGTTGCTGAAACAGGAAGTGCCAAAAGGAAGCCCTTTCTCAGGTGCTGCTGTTTGTAGTTAGCCCTTGTGAAGGGTGGAAATGCAGGTGCTCGTGGGAGAGGAGTTACTCTGCCTGTTAGTTGCTGTGGTGCTGGGGACAGAACCCGGCCCTCACACAGGCTAAAGAAGTGACCCTACTGGGCTGCGTCTTAGCAACACCTCCCCCTTAACTAACTGGCAGCATCACCAGGAAATCACAGCAGTCTCCTGAAGGTCAAGTGTACAGCACACCTGTACTTAGGGAAGTTTCAGGAAGTTAACTTGACCTTGAAGTAAGTACCTGGGAACCAAGCTTTTCTAGGTCACGCCCAGGTACTTTATACTACCGTGTTGATCGGGCTATGTGAATCTTTTTCCAGGAGAGGCATATTTATCCCCTAGGATGGAAACCCCTTACTGCTGTCCTACAGGTGTCACTTCTAAAGACAGTGCCTTGTTCTGTTCAGTTTTTAGTGCACAGAATCATAGGCCTTACAGACCAGTTGCCGCTGTGTTGAGACCCCGATCTTAGACTACTCTCAACAGTCATCTTACCCTGCACGCTTCTCTTCATCAGTAAGTGTAAGGACATCTTTCCTAAAGCTCTCTGCACGTCTGTTTGCTCCTAGGTCGTCTGGGAAGTTTCTCATGAGGAGTCCAGGGTGTAAGTGGAGGGAGGACTCCTGGCTTGTTGGCATAAAGAACCCTTTAAACCCTATATTAGCATTAGCAGAAACCTCCCAGGGGGTCAGGCTGAATAGCCTCAGCTTTGCTTTGTTCCCATCTTAGTAAGGTCCACCGATTCCCATCCCTTTAGGGATGTGAGCTGTGTTCACAGAGTCTGGAATCTTCTTGATAAGGTGAGAGGGAGATGGTGTGCCTGGCGGCTGGCCCACGAGTCCTGCCAATAGAGTCATTCACTCTGCCAGTTTTCAGGAGTGGGAATTTGTGGACTGCTATTAAATCACTTGGCACTTTCTTGGGATTTATATTAGCACTGTTTGCTTATTTGTTGTTTTTTGTTGGTTGGCTTTTGAGACAGTGTCTCACTGTGTAGCTCTGAGAAACTTGCTATGTGAACCAGGCTGGCCTTGAACTCACATAGATCCTCATTCCTCTGCCTCTAAGTGCTGGGATTAAAGGCATGCACCATCATGCCAGCTGTTTTTGTTTTTAATAACTGGAAGCAGTTAATGGTTATTTTGCTTGATTTCAGCTTCAGGACATTGAGGGTCAGGGAAATATGGTTCATTTCTCATTTCTAGTTTTGGGAACCTAGCTGTGTCTGGAGAAGGAGAAATGGATTACCTGATGGGCCTTCTTCCAGGCTCCATAAGGCAGCCCTTCCAGCTAGGATGTAAATGACTCACAGACTTTTAATATTTTTTTTGTAGAAATTTAATGATTCTGAAAGATTTGCATTGGTAGATTGCACTTAAATTCAAAAAGTATACAGCTGCAAGGGATTCTAGTTGTTGCTTTCCTTCCTTGTTTATTCCTGTTACGTAGGGAACACAGTCCCTTCTGAGACATTTCGTTGTTTGCTTGAGGACAGTATTACCAGCGGGCTCCGTGTGACAGCAGTTGCTGCTGCCGTTGCTGGCATGTGTGATGGAACAGCGTGTTCAGCCCTCCCCGTTGGGCATTACGGGGATCAGCTAAAAAGCACACCTAGGCAGGTCTTTGAGTTCCTGGAGGCCTGCTTACCAGTGTGGCCGAGGTTCTTCCTTTGCTTCTGGTGGTTTCATGTATCTTTGTGGGCAGTGCTTGGGAGGTGCAGGAAGAGGATTCTAGAGGTCAGGGTTATCCTTGGCTACAGAGTGCGTGGGCAGCCTGAGTCATGTGACAGCCTGCCTAAAAATACATTTAAAAAGATGAGGCGGGGGTTCAGTGGTTCACTGGGTGCTCTTCTAGAGGAGCAGAGTGCAATTCTCAGCACTCTTGGCAGGTGGCTCAAAACTGCTGTACTCCCGTGCTAGAGGATCTGACACCCTCTTACAGCCTCCGTGGGCATCTGCACACATATTGAACACACGCCACCTTTTTTTTTTTTTTTTTTTTGTTTAAGAAGCCTTGGTTCATTTTGATACTGATTAGTTTGGGTCTAAACATAAAATTTTGGGTTAAAATTAGTTTATTAGAATTAAGTCCTTTATTCACCAAATAATTAAATTGACTTTTTTAAAAAGTAGATTTTGTTTTTATGTGCTGGGTCTTGTCTTGCTTGTCTGGTTACAACAGTCTCTTCAGTCAACATCCTGCGTAGCTGGGACTGCAGGTACATGCTACCACATCTGTGTTAAGTCTGCATTAAGAACAACCTAATGATTTCCCGTGAGTCCTACTAGAACTTCTCTGTAAAGAGGACCTCCTAAGCTGGGACTTCAACTCAGTTGGTAGAGTGCCTGCCTGACACACTAGCCCAAAGTTTGATCCCCGTTATGTCATAAACTGGGAGCGGAGGCAAAGCCTGCAATCCTAGCACTAGGAATGTAGAGTCCAAGATCAAGTGGCGAGTTCGGGGCCAACCTGGGGTACAAGATCCTTATGACTAATGGGAAATAACCACGGGTTATTTTAAATGACGTGTGCCAGGTGGTTGAGTCCCAGTGAACCTGGCAGTTGCTGCAGTATAAGGAGTGAACGTGAGTTAAAAGGTAAATAACAAACTCTTACTTTCCATTCGGTTCATCTGTAATTTAGTAAAAAGCATGTGTTCTGCCATAGAGTGATTGCAATGTATACCCACCAGTGTTTGCATAGGATGGTGGGTGGGGACAGGTTCCTGTGTGTGTGTGAGTTTGGGGTGCGTGGTAAAGGACTTGGCAGGGCACTCAGCTCCTTAGAGGAACTGTTGCCTGTGTGTCCACCCCTCCTTGCTTATTTTATTGAAACCTATATCTCATATTACTCAATGTCACCACTTGGTATAAGTAGATCTTAGATGGGTGTAAGCAACACCTGCCCAAAAGAAGAGCTGTCAGGGTGATACTAGTAACATGTCTTAACTTAGTTTAGTTTATAGTAAAGAGATCTGCAGAGTATTAAATCACTTTTTGTTCTTTTCAGGAAAAGCAGTTGAAATGGTAACTGCTAACAATCCTTAAAATTAACACTGGTGGTTCTTAGACCCGGACAGACTGCGTCATCTCACCCAGCTACAGAGTAGTAACACATAACTGCAGAGATAAGGGGTGTTGTTTTCAGGCTGGTGAAGCCGGTGTGGAGTCTTAAATTCTGCCTTGGGGTGACAGAAATGTCATGGAGTTGAGGGAGGGGGGTGAAGGACGCATGCGCACTTTGAGGGCTTTCTAACGCACTGCTGTTCAAAAACAAGATGGCGGTCCACTGGGTGCCGTCTGCAGGCATTGCTAGGGACCTTACTTCTGTTGCTTCTAAGCTTTATGCGAAAGCTTTGTTAACTTCTATAAAGATCATGTGTATTTTGAGAAAAATGATACATTTTTTAAAAACTTTGATGTAAGAACTGACAGAGGGATTTACTTGTTCGTGGGAAGCTGGCTTTGAGGAAGCACTCTGGCGTGTTTACTGTTAAGTCCAGAGCTGTAGAGATCTGTTTATAGATATATGTGCAACTAGATATGGACAACGTATTTTTTTAAAATAAATATTTTTAACAAAATGACGTGAGTTGATCATTCCTTCCCCTGCCTCACATCCATCACAGTATCGCTGATATTTTCATCACACTGACTGGGTAAAGGACTGAATTCAGTGGGTGCTGTTGAAACCTGGTCTCCGGCTGCTTGACACGTCTCTGTGAAAGTGTTTAAAGCCCAGGTCAGAAGAGATAGTGAGAAGGGGAGATGGCAAAATGATTGTTGGCATGGAACAGATGGGCTGGGGGCCACCTCCACAGTGACACACCTCCGCCAGCAAGGCCACACCTCCTAACAGTGCCACCCCCTTTGGGGTCCATTTTCTTTCAAAACCACGATAGAGACGATGCTTTGAGAGTCATAAGGTCACACATTCATCGTTACTACCGAGCGATTCGCCGACCAGGGTACACGAACGGAAGTACAGTGGTGTCTCAACGAGACTGCCCAGGCAGAAGTGTAGGCGCCTGGCAGAGGCTGGCGGTGCTGCTGGAGCGCAAGTGTGTTGATCCCACATATTTGAACACACTGCTGTCATTTACTAAAGCGCCCTCATCTGGCCCAGTGGTGGCTTGGTCCTCCTAATGACCTCTCCTTGAGATGCTCTTTGCACACCTATGAGGAAACCACTTTGACCCTGAAATGTCCCTACCCCTGGCTTCTCATTTTTATTCTACTGCATCTAACTCTCTAGTTTTGGGAGAACTGCCGGGTTCAAACTCTCCCAGTCCCTACAACCACTATCTAGGTGATTTCATTTGGCCCTTGGCTTTGAACACTATAAGTTATATGACATATATAAAACATCATAAACGGATGTGTAAAACTTTTTTTGGGGGGGGTAAATTTTTTTAATAGATTTTTATTGAGCTCTACATTTTTCTCTGCTCCCCTCCCTGCCTGTCCTCTCCCCTTTAACCCTCTCCCAAGGTCTCCATGCTCCCAATTTACTCAGGAGATCTTGTCTTTTTCTACTTCCCTTGTAGATTAGATCTGTATGTCTCTCTTAGGGTCCTCATTGTTGTCTAAGTTCTCTGGGATTGTGATTTGTGGGCTGGTTTTCTTTGCTTTATGTTTAAAAAACCACTTATGAGTGAGTACATGTGATAATTGTCTTTCTGTGTCTGGGTTACCTCACTCAATATGATGTTTTCTAGCTCCATCCATTTGCAAAACTGTTTTTAAAAAGACATGGCCTCACTATGTAGCTCTGGCTGGCCTGACTCGATATGTAAACCAAGCTGGCTTCAAACTCACAGATCTGCCAACCTCTCTCTTGAGTGTTGGCATCAAAGGTGTGCACCAACCACACATATCAGCTAATCTGACTTCTGGTAGCTATTCTTGAAAGATCTATATTTCCACTTTTTATGTGTAGAAGTGTTTAGCCTATGTGTGTATAAATGTAGCACACAGGTGCCTGCTGCCTGCGGAGACCGGAAGCGATAATCAGATCCCCTGGGAGGAGTTAGAGCTGACAGTGGGTTGTCAGGTGGGGCTGGGAATTGAACCTGAGTCCTCTGGAAGAGCAAGTGTACGCAACTGCTGACCTCTCTCTGGCCCTAACAGCTCTTGGGTGTTCCTGGGCTTTCCAGTATTGGAACTGTTACCAGCGGTCTCCGTCTGGACGGAGCGTTCCTAGCTCCATGACATCCTTCAGAGAGTTCAAGTGAGGCAGTGAGAGTGTGTTGGGGAGCTAAGTGAGCGTGGAGTAGATACACCTAGATATACCGAGCCAGGGAGATGGCTCAGTGGGTAGCGGTGCTTCCTGCACAAGCCTGGCAACCTCAGTTCAGATCCCCGAATACAAAGAAAAGCCACTTTTACAATCCTAGCTTCCTCTACCCCAGTGGTTCTCAACCTATTGCTGCAACCCTTTGATACATTTCCTGGCACTCACATGTGGGTGTGTCTGCATGAGGGTTGACCCGCCTGGAGAGGAGCAGTGTCCCAGTTCCTAAGGCCATCAGAAATTGTGTTTTCCAGTGGTCATAGGTGACCCCAAAGGGGTTGTGATCCCCAGGTTGAGAACTGCTCTACCCAGAGATGGGAAGCTAAGGCCGGAGAATCCACTGTAAGTTTTGGGTCCAATAGCTTGGCCTATGCAGCAGCAAAGAGCCCTCCCTTCTCAGACAGGATGGAAAGGCAGGGACCAGCACCTGAAGGCTGCTTTCTCACCTCCACAGGCGTGTGTGGATGCATGCACTGTACATGCCTTTTCCATGATGCATCTGATTTTAATCTCATGGACATTCAGTCATGTACAGGCATGATGAGATGACGGTAAGTAGGGCTTTTTCCTACATGTACTCCAAACCAGTCCAGGCTGCCTCACGTTCCCAGCCAGACATGTTTCAGACTGTGTGGCCACAGAAGCGGGGTTACTAAGCATTGCTAGCAGACTCCAGGTCAGTGTTTCTAGGTACTTTATTTAGGGAGGGGTGTGCAGCTCCATGTTGGCAGGCTCTCACTGGTAAGTGCCGCGTGTTATAGTTCAAGCTAAGTGGAGTTTTCCCTTTGCGTGCCTGCCTCAAAATGGGCTCATGGGGACTTGGCTCCAAGATGACCAAAAAAGGGAGAAACGACGGTCGTGCCCAAAAGGGCCGCGGCCACGTGCAGCCAATTCACTGCGCTAACTGTGCCCGCTGTGTGCCCAAGGACAAAGCCATTAAGAAGTTCGTCATTCGGAACATCGTAGAGGCGGCTGCCGTCAGGAACATATCCGAAGCGAGTGTCTTTGATGCTTATGTGCTCCCCAAACTCTATGTCAAGCTGCATTGCTGTGTGAGCTGTGCTATTCAAGCAAGGTAGTCAGGAATCGATCTCGGGAAGCTCGGAAGGACCGAACGCCCCCACCACGATTTAGACCTGCTGGTGCTGCACTGCGACCTCCACCAAAGCCCTTTAAAGTGGCTTCATAAAGATAGAAGAAAACACCTTGGAAAAATAAAATGGGCTCATACCCGGGCACAGGCCAGACACCTGGGGCTTATCTGGGACCGCCACCTTCCTCAGACACACCCAGCCCATCAGCAGATTCTGCCAGCTTGACCTTCAGGCTGAATCCACTCTCACCGCTCCCGCTACCCACGCGGTCACTGTCAGTTTTCTAGCTGGGCTGTACCTGAGCTGATCTTCTCAACTCAGCCCCGCAGTCGTCAGACAACCAAAGTCACCGTTTTAAACACGGAAATCATGCCATGTCACCTTCTGCCGATCCCCGCATGTCCCCCAGAAGAACCAACATTCTTAGCCTGGTATGTGTGATCTGGGCCCCAGCTAGCATGCCATCCTGTCTCTTATCACCGTCTGTCTTCTTTGCAGCTGGTCCACACCAGCCTGCCGGTAACTTCTCACATTCTATGAAGCATATTCCAACTCAAAGCCCTTTCTTTCCCCTGCTGTAGCCCCTGCCTGGCAGGATTATCCCCAGGTACCCAGCTGGCTTGCTCCTGTGTAGCACAAATGCTGTCCTCTTGGCAAGGTAGCCTGAGCATCTCTAGGCATCTCCGTGCCTACGCCTTCCCTGCTTTTTCTTTACTCCACCATCCACGTGATATCTATTCATCTGCTGTTTCTGTGGCTTTGACCTTCAGTCCTTGTGAGGCAGGGACTTTTCTCATGCACTGCTGAACCTGCACTTCAGCTTCTGCTTTGCCATGGTGGGTACTCAGTCTTCCCTCCCTCCCTCCCTCCCTCCCTTCCTTCCTTTCTTCCTTCCTTCCTTCCTTCCTTCCTTCCTTTTCTTTCATTGGATAAATGCAGTCTCTAAGAAACCAAACCCCTCTGGTGTCCTCTGGTAGATCACCTCCCTCCCTCCCCTCTTGCAATCTGAGTTTGGTCCCCAGACCCACATAAACTGGCTATGGTAAGGCATGTCAGTAATCTTAGCACTTGGGATGTAGATACAGAAAAATCCAGAGTTCAAGATAATTTGAACTCCATAGCAGATATGAGGTGCATGTGTGTGCACCGTGTGAACCTATAAGAGAGACCTGTCTCCGGGGAGCATTAGACCAGTCGAGCTTCTGTAAAAAGGGTCACCTGCCTTTCATGATGGATCACACACCTCCTAATTTTAAAATAGTTTATTTTAGGAAAGTATTAGATTTGTTTAATCTTCTCTGTTAATACATCAATCGTCACCAATGTAGATATAACCAGTGATTTTTCTTTCTAAATCTGTATAAAAAAGGATGTTTTCTTGAAAAACTACAAGAAAAAATACAACTGCTTTTCTCCTCGCCCAGGTCAGTTACTACAGTTGGATTGCACGTTTCAACTTGGCTAGCATTAGGTGCTTCGGAAAGGATTTATAAATAGAGTTAAAAGGATTTGCTTAGGCCGCAGCGTTTCAAAGTGGCCTTTGCTCCTCGCGTTACAGTTTGTACCAAACGTGAATGGCGTCTAAGCTGCTCATGAGGCTTGTAATAAACGTGAAAACTTGAGCCCTCGGAAGGTGGTTCCCACGTTGGGCATGTAGCAAATACTCCATACACACTTAATTCTCTCAGAACTCCTGTGAGGTAGGGTGATTTTAGAAACGCCACCTTACTGGTAATGCCTGGGGCGGGGCAGGGGGCGGAGCTGTATGGGGCGGAGCCGGAGGGGGCGGGGGCGAGGTCAGGCTCACAGCTCGAAGGTGAGGCTGGTACTTGATCCAGGTGTCTGTTCTGGTGTGTGAGCAGCCCTTGGGGCGTTCACATGAACACATGTCTACGCACAGAGAATGTACAGGTAAACACATGACTGTAACGGAATGTTTCACTCCTTCCAGAAGTCTGTAACAGCCACACCAGTGATTCCAGAAACCTTGCGCTCAGCCTTGTCCAGGCTGGTGAGCCTGCATTCTTGCATTCTCTGCCTTACTAACCCTCTGTGTTCTGTATAGAACTGCGGACTCCTGACAGACACCGCTCTCTGTATACTGCATGGCTTGAATTATTCAGTAGGCCTAGATTTCTATGAAAAAAAAAGACTTTGACACCGTATAAAATTTTCCTCTATAAAAGGTACAAAACGTCAATGAGCTGTTTTTTAAAAATTCTCAGCGCTGCTTCTGCACCGTGTAGATGTCAGTAAGGAAAAACAGGATGTCCATTTCATTCTCCTTGTGCTTTCTGAACCAATTAAACTTTGCTTATTAGCAGTGAGATGCTGGTAAAACCATCTGTTCCCGGGGAGGGGGGCCACGGTCGCGATGTGGTTTTGCCATTTCTGTGCCGTGGCTGACCTCGGACTGTCACTGAGCAGCTGAGAGGAGCAGCAGCATTCTGTCACTTAGAAATACCGCCCCTTCTGTGTCCCAGACACAGTGACCTCAGGGGCATCGGCCATGTAAAATTAGAAAGTGGTGTCTTGAGTACTACCTCCGTTTACCTGCAAATTAATTTACTTAAAAATCATGGCTGCACGACTAGCTCTCAAAATGAAAATTTAACAGTCGGCTTGTATAAAGCTGGTCCGAGTTAGCCCCGTGTGCCGCTGACCTAGGGTCTCAAAACAAGATACAGCATTTCCTTTGTTGTCTTAGGACACAAGTGACCTCTTGGTTTCTGCAGGAGTAATGCGAGGGACTTTGGACCATGGGTAAGGGAAGAACACATAAATCCTTTTCAACATGCCAGAGGGATTTGATTCATTTAAAATATATCTAAATATATCTACACCTAGCAATGATTCAGCTTTATGATTTTGGCATTTTTGTTAAACCTCAACTAAAAGTGATCTGAAGCCCAGAGTGTAGCCCATGCACAGGGTGATGGGACGGGGAGGTGTGAGCGCTGTCTTTTGCCCTCCCATCTGGTTACCGTGGGCTGTAAGTCTGAACCAGAGAAGAAGACACTAAAGTGCCAGGCAGGTGCTTGATTTGTCCAGGGAACACTCAGGGAACAGGACCCAACTTCTTGGCTAAGTGTGAAAGAAAAAGATAAAAAGCGAGGTGGCAGGGGAGACCTCCTCTGTGACCCTTGGCCTCCTGTGTCAGTTTGGTCACCCTGTCGCTCAGGAGGCTGAGGTCTTCACCTCTGGTAGCTCTCAGGGTTCTCCACGCCAAGGGGTTTGTCTTGGGTAAGGACTACGAAAGAAAACATAAACAGCACAGGTAGCAGATGTGGGTGGCCCCAGCTTGCTCCGCAACAGCTCGCTCTAGAGAGTGAACTAGGTTTTTGCTTCTCTGCTGTTCTGGGGCTCTGTAGCACACACGGTGGGAAGTCAGACCAAGTTCTGGTGAAGTGCTGATAGGGGCAGCTAGCGAGACTAGTGTCTGGGGCTGGGGGGAGACACAGGGGCTGTCAGTCACTGGATGTTTGACAGAATGGCGTGCCTCTTTTTCCTTCTTTCTTCCTCCTCTCGTTCTCCTCCTCCTTCTTCTTCTGCACTGTCTTTGGTTTATTTGTGTTATTTGTGTGTGTTGGCCTCTCTCCTGCTGGGCCTCTATAGTTCTGGGGGTTAGGGTGTCTGCTCTCCTGTTGGGCCTGTATAGTTAAGTTTTGTTGGTTTTTGTTTTGTTTTGTTGAGACAGAGACTCACTATGTAGTCCCATCTGACCTGAAACTCACTCTGTAGACCAGGCTGGCCTTGAACTCACAGAGAACCACCTGCCTCTGCCTCCCAAGTGCTGGGATTAAAGGCACATGCCACCATGCCTGGCTCAGTGCTTAGTATGTAGAGTGGAGAGTGGACATGGCTACTTAGCAAGAAAGGGTAGTAGTTCTTCAGGGGTTGTGTGTGTGTGTGTGTGTGTGTGTGTGTGTGTGTGAGTGTGTGTGTGTGCGTGTATGTGTGTGTTGTGTGTATTATTCTGCTTTCACAGAAAGAACGCTGGTTCTGCTCGGGCACCTTCTGCTAAGAACAGCACAATGCATGGCTGAAGTCCCTGGGCAAGGGACATGCAGAGTTACAAAAATAGCCTTCGTACTACCCTGGCCCGGGGTCTTCAGGAGGGAGACTATTCTTAGGAGTGTCTCTGTCCCAAAGGAACTCTTCCCTGCCATTTGGCCAAAATGATTTCTTTCTGAAGAAGCAATTTGGACAAGAGTCAAAACCTCAAACTGCAAGGAAGTGGTCAGTTAGGCCACTGGGCCAAGCTCCAGCCAGGGAGGCAAGCTCTGTCCTCTCCTGCCCTCGACTTTTGGCCCCAGGACCCACTGTGAAGGGAACGGCAGGAAGACAGGTTCACGGTCCATGCCCCTCTGCTAACAGGGAAGCCGTGAGTCAGCCTGTTCTACTCTCTCCAGCGTGAACAATCAAGGAAAGCAGGAAGAGGGGAAAGGGCAGCGGTAGGAAAATAAACACTTCCTTGCACTTCACTTGGGACAGAACAGCTCTTCTGACTGTTAAAATCATATTCCTTCCCCACCCCCGCTGTTTCCCCTCTCTGCGCAGAGACAAGTTTTCTCCTTACCTGATGAGAGTTCAGGGTGTATCCTGTGGAAAAACAGGAGCGAGATGTAGAAGAGAAAAGCCAGGCAGCCAAAGATCACCCCACAGACCAGGAAACTGTAACTGCCCTGGGCCTGGAAGATCTGCCAGAGAGGAACAGAAGAGCGGCCATTAAATTTCCACGTGACCATGCACCAGAAAATAAAATGGTCGCCTTGGGCCCTGGTAGGCTTCAGTCAAGTTGGGGCCATCCTACCAGACACAAGAATGTAGGGGAAGTCTTCCCAAGGTTACAGGTCTGGTGAAGACAAAAGCTCTGCTCTAAAGCCAGGGTTGGACCTGTCTATACCCCATATACTCTTTCAGTTCCATCTTCTAGAACTTTCTGGAAAACTCCATATGATAACTGAAATTCCAAGTACATGAGATATTTCTATACCCATAGGTCTAACTGAAACTTTGCTGAAGGGGTGTGTGTGTGTGAGAGAGAGAGAGAGGGAGGGGGATCTTTTAATTTTTTATTATGGAAATTTAGAACATGTCAAAGTAGCAAATAGAGCTTTCCTAGGCCACCAATTTAAGAAACCACACCACGTCCAGTATGGCGGTGCACACCTTTAATCCCAGCACTCGGGAGCTACAGGCAGGTGGATCTCTGTGAGTTCAAGGTCAGCCTTGTCTACCTAGCAAATTCTAGGACTACATAAAGAAACTAAGATTTTTTTTTTTTAAAAAAAAAAAAGTGAGAAAGGAAGAAAGAAACCACACCAAATCAGACCCCAGACATGGCATTTCAATGCAGAGAACAACAAAATTAATTCTTCGCCTTCGTCAGGAGGGAAGAGAAAGGAGGCTCCAAGAGCTGGCAGGAATTTTGGAGGGATACAACCCAGGCTACACACCCCTGCTGGCTGTTACTAAGAGCCAACTGACCTAGAGAAAGCTGCTCTGTTTATTTATGTTTCGGGGTCCTGTGCTGTGAAAAGCCTGACCTCTCTGTATGGTAGTCAAGGAAAGCAGTGTTGATTTTAACATTTGATTTCCGGGGAAACAAATGTAACCTGGGCGTGTTGAAGGAAAGCTAGGGCAGGCGCTGGACGTGAACGGGGGTCCTGGTTAGCAGGGCCACAGACTGGGAGACATGGACCTGGGCAGATGGATAAAGAACACTGCCAGACTCGGGGCACACCATCTGGACTCTGAGGGCCAACAGCATTCTCATGGGGCCCCCCTGGCCCCAGGCCCAGACGGCCGTGTTTGCTTTGGATTCGTGCATTCAGTCATTAAGGTCTCCGCATCCCACATCCAGAGGCCTGGCTTTTGAGTCTGGCTGGCGTGGAAATGGGAAACGGCTAGCTCCAGCCTGGTGGGATTCAGGAAGTGAGAGCTTGGACTTAAAGGCGGTTGGCTGAATCTTCTCATCTACTTGGGGGAGTGCTCCCCAACCACTGCCCCTCCCACCCCGAGAGGACCCCACTTACCAAACCAACCAGCATCTGCAGGACCATCTCGCCAATTCCTGCCCCGGTCACCAGCACTGTAGTCGCACAGCCTAGCCAAACGGGAAGGGGAGGTTGGGTGAGAGCAAGCCAAGGATGCAGAAGTGAAGCTATCTGAATCCAGAGCATCCTGGCACGCCTCGGGAAGGTCTAAGAGAGGACTGTGGGTTAAGACATCTAGGGCTCCAATCTGTGACTACCTCAGGATGGTCTCCCTCCACTTATTCCTATGTCTCTTTCTTGTTCTCAAACCTTCAACCATTCATAGCTGTGTAGCCTGGCATTCGGGACTCTTCTCAGCTGACCACTGCCTGCCCTTCCAGAGAGATCAAGACCTTCAGAGCACAAGCGTAGCGTCAGAACCTGAAGTCCAAGGCCAGTTATAACACCCCTCGCCAGGTTTGTGTGTTTTCTCTAGAATACTGGTCCAGGACAGACACTTGAGGCCAGGTCCCTCCACTTCAGGACAAGTCTAAATGCTTTATGTGGTTTGTAAGGCCATCTCTGGCTCCCCAGCCACCCTTCAACCAGGATAAACTGACGTCATGACCTGTGTTGCGGCCTGTCTCGGATGCGATCCTTTACTGACCCACGGAAGATTCCTCTCCCTCCGCCAGCTCATGTGTTGCGGCTGAGTTTACATTTCCTTTACGTACATCTTCCACAGTCCCTATGCATAGGATGGCAGCTTCTTCTCTAGCCCTGAGTGCCCGTTCCCTGCACATTCGGACCCCACTAGCTGATGGTCTTTCTTGGCTACCAGACACTATTTATTCCAGGAGGCTGACTGCCTCTCTGGTTCCCTGACACATGCCAGAGCTCATGGCACCGTGGCCAATGATGACACATCTCCTGAGGGCTCTATCTTCTTCCAGCCCTTTCTCCCTCAAGTCAATCCCCGTCCTGCTTGTGCCTGCACATCCTTCCTCCGCACCTTACTTCTGTTTCCCACCCTGTTCTCCATGCAGGGCAGCTCACATCCGTCAGATTTCTAAACTGCACACTGCTCACTCCCCTCTCTGAATTCCAAGGGCTCCCCACTGTTGTGTGTGTTCTTTTGAGTCACCCTGGGACCCTTCTGCACATCAGCAACAGTGTCATAAACGTGCAGCTAGGGAGCCCTGTGAGCCATCAGTGGTGCCAATCAACCAAGAGCTTTCCATTTTCTACCATGCAGCGCATTCCTATGGGATCAGCATCTGTCTCTGGGCTGTTTTTGTGGTGCTGGGGAGCAAACCCAGGGCTTCCACATGCAAGGCAAGTGCTCAGCCATTGAGGCGCAACCAGCCCAGCAGAGGAAGGCTGCTGCTGCTGCTACTTCCTCCGTCCTCTTCCTCCTCCTTTTCTTCCTTCTTCTTCCTCCTCTCTCCTCTTCTTTCTTCTTCCTCCTCCCTCCTCTTCCTCTTTCTTCTTCTTTCCTCTTCCTTCTTCCTCTTCCTTCTTTTTCCTCCTCTCTCCTCTTCCTCCTCCTTTCTCTTCCTCCTCCCTCCTCCTCCTTCTTCCTCCTCCTCCTCCTTTTTAGAGGTCAGGTCTTAGTATGTAGCACTAACTGGCCTAGACCTTATGTAGCTCTGCCAGCTTCTGTTTCCCAAGTGTTAGAATTACAGGTGTGAGCCACCATATGACAAAGAAGCCACCACCACATGACAGACAAGAAAACTGAGGCTCAGTGAGAAGAAAGAAATGAGGTCACTGGAGGTCATTGACCTGAAAATACAGAGGTGGGACTGATGCTTGTGTCTGCAATGTCCCTAAAGCCTAGACTTTCTGTTGTCCCTTTCCGGGACTGTGTTGGAGAGGACACAGCCTAGGTACAGAAGCTGTGAGACGGGCCACACAGCAGGGATGGGCCTGAGTCAAGTGATCCACAAAGATGGCGGCCATCCCTCTCTGAGGAGATCAGAGATACTTCCTGGAAGGGCACAGGGTGGGGGAGTTGATGGAGGCGGTCCAGATGGAGAGTGGTTATGGCCAAAGCATGATGGGCCAGAGTGACTGCTGTGTCATCAAGAAACTCCAAGTATTTGGTGTGGATAGACTGCAGGCCTGTCACTCAGAGGGTCCCCTAGGCCTTGTGACATTCCCACACCTAGATGCTGTCAGAGCAGGCCACCTCCTGCTCTGTGACATCCCACTCAGAGGAGCCTGGGCTCTGGTTGTCTATTAGAACTCCAGGGAATCCCAGTGCTAAGCCAGTGGGTCAGAGGGGGGCAAGACTGAAGGGCAACGAGCAAGCCGAGACCTACAAAGGCAGAGGAGGTGACCGGAGAGGGCAGCATTATAAATATTAAATATGCCAAGCAAGTAAATGATGAGGCAGGCTGAATTAAGTGTGGACCGTGGGAAGTGACAGGCAGATGGGGCTGAGTGTCATCTGGCAGAGCCTGTTACTGTCATACTGGAACACCAGTTCATCTCTCAAAACTGACACGGGACGTTGTTCCATCACTTAACGGATTCTCCTGAGTTAGAGTCCAAGAACTTTGGTATCCCGGGGAGTTGCCCTCCCTGCTGCCAGGATGAGCTGGGGGAAGGGACTGTGTCTCCTGGGCACGTCCCCTGTTCTTCATGATGTCCTCAGTAGCACACAAGTGCGTTCCCAGGATGGGTGCTGACTCTGGCTGATGCTGTTTCTGCCCTCAGTTCCACCAAGGTCAAGGCTGCTTCTGAATCACCGTTCAAAAGAATTTTTCCTGATTTGAGATGTGTCTCAGCCATGTGCTGAACCCCACTTAGAGGATCCAGAAGCCAGAAACTCGAAGACACTTGATTCTTCAGCTCATCCTATCCCTGGATTGTTTGTCTTCTAAGTTGATCACAGACATGACACTGTAGCAGCCAATATGTCAGCTGACCCATAATGTTCTCGAGGAAGAGGAAGGAGATGGACGAGGAAGCCGCAAGACTTCCCTGTGGCCTACAAGGACACACACAGGAGACAGACACAGAAAGCCACGGACCGGACACACAGGAGACACAGAAAGTCACAGACTGGACACCCGTGATCAAACATGCTTGCTCTCACAGGCCAGGGGGCGTTTTAATTTTCCTGGTAAAAGAAAGTCCAGGCCTAGAATACCACAGCAAACTGGGAGCAGGAGAGGAGGTGGCCACCAGCTGCAGAGAACATGCTTCTGTGTTCCTCTGCCACTCACCTTTGTACTGAAGGATGTCCTCAGTGTAGGCCAGCATACTGGGGAAGGTGCTACTCAGAAACAGCCCCAGGCTTGCGGTCCCCACGAACAGGAAGATGACATTGTAGGAAAAAATAAGCAGCAACAGGAATGTCACCACCACTCCCACCTGTCACAGCGGAGGCAGAGGCACCTTAGAGAAAGGCAGGCACATCCTCGCTGGCCCCAGGAGAATGGTGTAGCCCATGCGCCACCCTGTGGTCTCATTGATACCTGCAACATCGCTAGTGCAGGGTCCGGGAAAGACTGCAACCTGGGCAATCGCGCACTCCTACCCCCAGCATCCAGTGAACACAGGGACTAAGCACTGCTGGTCCCCAGGGTATTCTATGAATCTGGGTCATCAATATTCTCCTTCCCACTGGTGGAGGGGGTAACACCCCACTCTTCCATGAAGCATGGTTCCCTGACACCTGAGTTCCAGGGTCCAGAGTGAGGAAGCCATGAGCCAGCAGTATGGGTGGTGGACATTGGGTCCCCACTCTCTGGGAATCAACACAAGCACCCAGGAGGACCAATGGTGGTGGTAACCAGCTTGGTGCCTCTTAGATTTCTCTTAAATCCCATGGCTGGAGCTGAGAAATGGATAACTCAGGTTGCATGCCCAGACATCTTTGTGGCTCATCCAAGTCTCTGCCCTACAGGCAGAGTTTCACAAAAATAACCCAGTTTCTATGCTCTTTAAAAATGTTTTTTTATGTAAGTGTTGAGTGATTTCTATGCGAAACCCAACCGGGAGGAAAGCAGAGCAGCGCAAGGCTGGGAGTCCAAGGCCCCAGGAGCGGGTCCACGCTGAGTGTCTCCCAGTGTGGAGCCCTAAAGGGGCCGTCCCCGGGAACCCTACAGTCTTCATCTTTACACCAGGTGTGCTAGCAAGGGGATGGCGAGGCTGGTGGTGAAATGATTGGAGACTGGAAGTGTTGAGCTTCCAATGAATGTTCGATTACTCTAGGATTTCTGTGTGGTTTCCCTACCCTGAAGGCTGGGAGACAAACCCACGACTTGGTACCCACTTGGCAAGTCCTGCACCCCCAAGCTACAGCCCCAGCTCTGCGCTCTAAAGAAACTCCGTGTTCTATGCCAAGTCCTAGCTTTGATGGGAAAATGTCCCTGGATTGGGGGCTGTACATGTAGATCGGTGTTAGAGAACTCAGCCTGGGCGCCCAAGGCCCTGGGTTTGAGCCTCAGCACCACAAAACAAATCGTATCCTAGGATGTGCCTGTATGCCTGTTTCTAGGAGAATAAATACACAGACCTAAAAGTCATGCAAAAAAAATCACAGCCAGTCCCGAACCCATTCCTCCACTTGCAGATGAAGGACTGGACAGGCGGAGAGGAAGGGACCTTTCACAGAGTCACAGCAGACCTTGGGGAGAGGGAAGCAAGTGACCCCAGCACATGAACCCCATTAGCTCGGCCTCAAGATCTCTCAGAAGTGAGGTGTTCTAGAATCACCCTCCCCCCTCCTGCCCGAGAGAAAGCCATCAGGAAACAGAGGCTGAAGATGAACACTTCCCTTCACCATGGAGAGGCAACTTCAAGGCCTCTTTCATGTGGTAAAAACACAAAGGCAGCGGGCTATGGCGGTGCACACCTGTAATCCCAGGGTTTAGGAGTCTGAGGCAGGAGAATTATGAATTAGAAGCAGCCTGGGCTACACAGTAAGACCTTGTCTCAAACAAACCAAACAAAACCAGAAAACCAGGCACTGGAGCAATTACTCAGCAGTTAAAGAGCACTGGCTTCTCTTTCCCAGGACCTGGGTTTGAGTCCCAGCACCTACATGATGACCCACAGGCAGCAGTAACTCCAGTTCCAGGGAGTCTGATATTCCCCGCTCCCTGCCCCTGCCTCTGCAGGCACCAGGCAGGCAAGGGAACTGCACCGACATATATTCAGGGAAAGCACCCATACACAACACCCTGGAACCCTCATAAAGGTGGAGAGAGAAAACCAGCTCTTCAGAGTTGTCCTGTGGCCTCCACACACAGCATGGTCCAGGTATACCTCCTGACATATCTCTCTCTCTCTCTCTCTCTCTCTCTCTCTCTCTCTCTCTCTCTCTCTCTCTCACACACACACACACACACACACACACACACACACCTACTACTATTAAATTAAGTTAAAAGAGCAGAAGTTGCTGGGCGGCAGTGGCGCACGCCTTTAATCCCAGCACTCGGGAAGCAGAGGCAGGCGGATCTCTGTGAGTTTGAGATCAGCCTGGTCTACAAGAGCTAGTTCCAGAACAGGCTCCAAAGCAACAGAGAAACCCTGTCAAAGGAAAAAAAAAAAAAACCAGAAGTCACAGGTATATCTATGGCTCCAAATATAACACATTTCTTTGGCACGATGACCACACAGCTCTGTTTATTCTTTCTTCCTCTCTGCTCAGTTCCTGGGCATGACCAGAATTCTATTGTGGGGTCTCCATTCACATCCCCTTTGCTGCAGTCACAAGGTTCAAATGTCTCCATGCTAGGGACACTTACTATCCTTACAACCATGATGCTGGTCCAGAAAAGCCAGACACACGTAAGAAACTGCTCCACAGACACAGCCATCCCCTGGACCACCGACAGTGTGATCCCCACTGAACTTGGACTTTCCACTACCTGTCTGTCCCTGCCCAGCAGCTAACTGAAAACCCTATTCATTCTCTGCTGTCCACCAGTCGTATTTAGGAGTTGGCTCTAGGGGCTGGTATAGCTCAGCAGTCTAGCACATCCTTAGCACCCCACCCCCTGAAAAAACAAGACTCCACACACCTGTAACCCAGAAACAAAGCGGACATTGTTCTGGAGTCTGCTGAACATTGGAGGAGGTGCTGAACAAGAGGTGCTGAAAACCATCCTGACCCCTGGCGGCCCAACACTTGGAACTCATGAAGCTGTGAAAGCCTCTCACTAGCACCAAGTGCCTTTTTTTTTTTTTTTTTTTTTTTTGTGCGCCTGCACCTAACTGTGAGGAGCTGCGTTTGTCAAGGTGGTGAAGCCTTTGAGGCTGGGCACATCAGCCTGGTGACTAGGAGATAGGAGAGGATTGGTGGGCTGGGGAAACCCCCAGGGTGGTTAGCTGTTGCCATGTACTGGTTAAAGACTAGCGCAAAGAGTAACCTCAAGATGCCACCAAAGATGACTTTCCGCACAGGAAATGAGCAAAGGAAATACTTAGCTCTAAGGGGCGGGGAAACACTTCCGTGTCGTCGTTTGGATTTCAGAAGACCCACAGGTACAGGCTGGGTCTTTAGGGTATTTTTGTAGCTTGAACTTACAGGTGGTAGGACCCTGACCCGGTGGGACTCCCTAGGTCACTGGAGGCATGTCACTGGAAGGGACTGTGGCCATCCCACCCTCCCTTCTGCCCTTTTCCCCGGCTTATGACACTAACAATATTCCCAGGCCTACTCCAGCCTTTGCCATCCAGCACCCCAGAGACTAGATCATAGACTAGAACACCCCAAAGTGAGAGCCAGACTAACCCCTGTCTCTTTATAGTTACCATACGCATGTCACTGTAGTGATGGAAGGGCCCCATCCATGCGATCGCTCTAGCCTCCTCCTTGAGCCCTGTTTTCTTCCCCCTTCACTCAGAAAAGTCTTGTCCCCCCTGCCCCATGAAACGTCAGAGAACCTTTCTGCCTAGTTCTGCCCTCTCTCAACTATTCTGCAAGAATGAACAACCTCTCCCTGACTACCATCAGAAGCGTTTTAATTGCTGCTTGTTTATTCATAGGTGAGTTCTCTCTGTTGCCCAGGCTGACCTTGAACTTAACCCTTCTGTCACCTCCCAAGTGCTGGGACTGTAGGGATGCACCATCACCACACCTAGCTGGGAAGTCTTTCTTTGTTTCCTTCTTTCTTTGTTTGTTTCTTTCTTTCTTTTAAAATATTTATTTATTTATTATGTATACAGCATTCCTTCCATGTATGCCTGCAGGCCAGAAGAGGGCACCAAACCCCATTACAGACGGTTGTGAGCCACCATATGGTTGCTAGGAATTGAACTCAGGACCTTTGGAAGAACAGTCAGTGCTCTTAACCTCTGAGCCATCTCTCCAGCCCCCATCTTTTTTTAATGTTATGTGTATGGGTGTTTTGCTTGCATATATGTCTGTGCACCAATTGTGTGCAATGCCAGAGGAGGACACAAGAGGGCATCAGATCCCCGGACCTGGATTTACAGAGCGTAGTTAGTCATCCCATGGGTACTAGAAATCGAACCTGGTCCTGGAAGGGCAGCCAGTACCCTTAACCACCGAGCCATCACTGCAGCTTGAGAAGTGCTTTCTTTCAGTGGATTTCCTGGAAAAGCCGTGAGTTCCCAATCCCTGGAGGTTTTAAAACAGAGACTGGCAGGGATGTCGCAGAAGTGATCCAAGACTCAGGGGAAGTTTGACAGAGATGTACCCTAAGGGTTATGTAATCTGGAGTCCTTTGTCATAGATGGTGACATGGACATACATCAGGACACAAACCTTTATCTATTGCTTGGCCCAGACCCTGTTCCCAGCCAAGCTAGTTCCTTTGCCTGGCTACATAATAGTCTGGCCATCCAAGACTCTCCTGGACAGTTGCCAAAGGCAAATCCTAGGTCAGGCCAGAAGCATTGACTCCAAAGCCTTGCTCCACTGGCGAGAGGACTCCGAACATCCGGGCACGGTGAGAAGTGCAGGAGGACCAAGGCTGAGACCTACATCCCTCATAATCCTGGCAGATGTCTGCTAGGGACCACTTTCCACGCCATAGTAATCACCCACTGTCTCTTCTGTTGAGGTGTTTAAGGACATAAAGTCAGTGGCCCAGGCAGGGGAAGGAACTCTGCCAAGGATACACAGCAGGTTCCTCTTCCTTGATCTCCACCCTCCCTTGCCAGCATCTCCCCTCCTCCATTTCTACCTCCTCACCGTTCCAGCAGAATACAGTCCTGAACAAATGTCTCGGGTAAGGGCAGGAATAAACAAAGTCTGTGTTCCTAAGAACACTTACCACGTTGATGAACACCATGGTGGCTGGCCTCATCCTGGAGGAGACAGGGATGGAGATGAGCCGGCCCAGGGTGATGAAGCCCCAGAAGAGGCTGGGGAGGTAACCAGCCGTCTTGTGTCCGACAGACAGTGGCTTCTCCACAGCATAGCTATACACAAAGGCAGAATACGCACCCTGTGTGAAGAGTGGAGAGAGTGAGCCTCACTGAGCACGCCAGGGCCTCAGCTGGGACAGGCTGGGGAGGGCGGGCAGAGGCCATCTGGTCTTGTCCCTGGTGGCTCAGCCCAAGATGCCCTGGGAGCTAAGATCATGTGGTACACTCACACCTAAGCTGAGAACAGAAATGGTGCCACATAGGGCACCTGAGATATCACTAGGTCCCCATGGGGAATCCCTACAAGGCTTGGGCAGACAGGCCTGGCTAGAAGGAAAAGGGCTTAGCCTCTTGCTTTACAAATGAAAGAAAGAGAGGAGAGGGGTCCACATTCACCCTAGAGTGGTCTGCTGTGGCCTGGAGCTTGTGAATAGAGCCTTCTCTTAGGAAAGTCCCTCCTACAGCAGTCAATCACAGCCAATCAGGACGTCCCTAACCTAGAAGACTTCTGAAAAGGGCACTAAAAAGAGTTGACAGAGTCACCCACTGGATGGACAGAGGGGCTGGAATGTGGCTTGTTTATGACATGAGCTTGTGAAGCCCCATTGACAGCACACCAGAGTTTATATAGTATGGCCTCTCACAGGGCAACAGGGCTGTGAGCTGTCAAAACTGTGGGTCACAGCCAGGTATGGTGCTTTTGGGAGAAGGACCAAGAGTTCAAAGCCAGCCTAGGCTACATTTGATCAAAACAGAGCAAAGCAACTAGAACTGAAAAATCCTGGGTCACATAGAATTGGAAATAAAACAAACAAAACACCAGATAGGGCTCTTTCTAGAATTCACCAATAAAACGGAATGGTGAGAACAGAACAGATTCCTGGTCCTCACGGGCTGTGGCCACTGTAGGAAATGGGCAGGACACCAGTTCATTGCTCTGTAGGTGAAGTTCTGCGGACCCCTTGTGCTTTTTTATCTTCTTCCCAGTCCAGGCTGGGTACCACGGTAGAGGCCTCTCAGCAGAGCACGCTAAGATGAAGGCTCACCATCATCCCGTCCGTCATGAAGAGGACCAGAGCGGCTGTGATGTGGATGGCGAAGAAAGAGCAGGGGGCACCCCGGAAGTTCCTCCTCTGACAGCAGCTGAACAGGTCCTCCTGCCCTGAAGGAGGCACAGAAGGGTGGGGAGAGTCAACCCTTGCTCCAACCCCTCTGCTCGCCTAGTTAGGGGCGTCAGCAGGGGCTGCTTGCCGCCTCCACCTCCCCAGCTTTCAGGTACCTGTGAGGAGCGGCCACTATTCTTTGCCCACTCCTGGTAGAACTCAGGCTCACAGAGGTTAGCTAACTCCCCTAAGGTAACCCGGGAGAGAGTAGAGAGGATGGAGACAATCTTCCCTTTTCATTCTTCCTGCCAGGTAGCTCCATCTCTTACTTACCTTACAAAAACTGCCAGGACCAAAGATTGTTTCTGACCCCTAGCCCTGCGCTCTAGGTTCATCTTCTGGGTGTGGGGTTTCTAGGGCAGCCAGAATAGATTACAAGAGCCCGCACCTGAGTGTGACTGAAACCTGGGGGCCAGTGAGGAGGTGTCGTCCTTCTCAGCGGGCCGGGTCTCCAGTGCCAGCTCGTCTGCAGACAGGAGCAGTGGCTTCCGCTGGGGGCAGGTCAGCAGCCGCTCCTTGGACAGCAGGAAGAGAACAGCCAGGGGCACTGGGAGCTGAGGGCGGTAGAGGGGGCAGGAGGGTCTGGCTTGCTACATGTGGTCCATGCGGCAGGCTTACAGTCCAAGGTGCCCACCTCACCAAAGAGCCTTTGCCAACCCATGAGCCAGGCATTTGGGTACCATCTAGGCTTGGTGTGAGCAGTGCTGGCCTCGGCCACACCTATTTCTCACAGGAGATAGGGAAGCCTTTCAAAGCCTGGATTTACAAGGGGCCTGACTACTTAGGCCAGGTGCCGGTGACCGGCTTACTAACACCCTTGCTCCCAATACTGCTACAGCACAGTGCCTCTTGTTTCTGTGTGTCACAGCCCGATAAAATGTGACTGGGGGTGGCAGTCTGGAAAGAGCACTCGCTGTTCTTGCAGCAGGCTTAGATTTAGTTCCCAATACCCACATGGTGCTTCACCACCATTATAACTCTAGTTCCCCGGGGATCCGACACCGTTCTCCGGCCTTCGCAGTCACTAGATGCACCCGAGATACCCTGACATGCAGGCAAAATACTCATACGCATCATGTCATTTTTGAAAGTGCCATCAGGGGGCAGAGGATGCGGCTCAGTGGACGGTACCTGTCTACCAAGCATGAGGCCCCTGGGTTTATCCCTGGTACTATCAAGGGGTGAGAAAAATGTGCTGAAAAGATTTGTTATCACATTTCCCAGATGGGACAAACGAGGCTCAAAGTTATTATACAGCCACATACTGTTAGGACTGGAGGAGACCTGGGAGGTCGACTAGACACAGAGAGTGCAGGGTTCCCCCCTACGGCCAGCACTGGTTTTCGGATTCCAGCCTGTATGCATGTTCCTACCTCTGGGCTGCTGGAGTGATGCTGTATCCTCGGAGGGTACTGAGCTCTGTTAGGAGCTAGATGACTAAGCTAGAAAACACAGGCATGGGAAAGTGCCTGTCTCCCCTCCCCCTGCCCAGCTCTCTGCTCTCCACACGGGGAGCTGGTTAGTCCCAAAGGTGCTCCCTAACCCAGTAGGAAACTCCTCCTACTTCTGAGGTTGCCTGGAGAAGCGGCCACTGCCTCCCACAGGTGTTCCTGCCCAGGCCCCGTCACCCTCACTACCAGAAAACTTTATGAAATCTAACTGCTGTTCTTCCTGGTCTGGCTGTAAAGATGCTCACACCAGTCTGAAGACTAAAAGCCACCCAACCCCACACCGACACCTCCCTGTGGTGCTCTTGAGAGCCTATTTCAACACTCGAAAGGCAGCCAAGGTCACAGGTGTGTTGCCACACACCTGGAGTCTCTGCTACTCAGAAGGCAGGAGCTAAAGATCAGCCCAGGGCACCCCAAGTGTAACCCCAACTCACAATTTACAACAACAAACAAGTTCAAACAGCCCTTGGAAGTTATAAAGCCACACACAGAGACCCGCATGGCAAGAGACCTGTGCCTCTGTGCTGGGGAGACTCAGCCCTCCCTCCAGCAACTGGGGAAGCAGGAAGCAGGCATGGAGGCCTCAGCAGCAGAAAGCCTGACAGAAAGCCAAAGGGAAGCAGCTGAACCCCAGGCCTGGCACTTGGGAGGCCTAAGGAGGTGGGTGAAGGGAACAGCTTCACGACAGATTAGCTGGCAGGAACATACCTCGCTTTTACAGGAATCCCATTCGGGGACACCGGTGCCACCCTGAAGACCAGCCAGTGCCGGGCAGGTGTGTATGTGTGTGAGCGTAAGGAAGCCAGTCCATCTACTGCTGTAATTCCTTCAGCCGTGGGCTATTTATGTTCAGACACACACAAATAGGGAAATTCCCAGAAATCTTGTAGCAAGCAGCCTCGCCAGTCTGCACCTTTGTGAGGAGAACAGACCCTGGGCCTATATAGGGCTTCCTGCATGCAGAGTCATAGCAGGGATCTTTCCCTAAGCAGGGATGCAGGTTCAAAGCTGCCTTGATCCAAAATGGTAGCCACGGATATAAAAGGGACAGGAGAGAGGAAAAAGTGGTACCTTGTTGAGGGCATGACTGACCTTCCAGCCCAGGAAAAGGAGCAGACTAGGCCTCTCTCAGTTCCCTATCAGGGCCTCAGGCCAGTGAGGTGTGACACCCTCTGCATGCCCAGCACTGATCTGGTCGGGGCTTAGGGCCCTTTCAGTCCTTTATGCAGGCATTCCTCTGAAGCAGTGCAGTAGCCACCGGCCTCTGGAAGACCGGGAAGGCCTACGGCAGAGAGGTTCTGGGCGAAAGTGAGGAGGCTCACACAGGGACTCTCTCCCACAGCCAAGCTACTGGCCACCTGGAATATCTTCACTTCCGGCCCATGATGAGGCCAGTCATTAAGATGGTTTGAGCGGTCACTTCCAAGCCTGATGGGTGGGGGACCAACAATCTCCCCTGGTTCACAGGGGATCCTCTTGAGGTGCAGAGCACTGGAGGGTTCTAGGTGGAAGCCAGAATCAACGCTGACTTGGCCATGTGCACGAAAGGGGCCTGAGCGGCTAAGCTGGTCGGGGTCAGTGGTCTCTGTGCTGTCTAGTGTCTTGTTAGTGACCCAAACTGGAGTCACACGGAAACAGGGAACCTAAATTGAGAAAATGCCCCATCAGTTTGGCCCGAGGTCACGTCTGTGGGAGCACTTTCTTGATTTATGCTTGGCATGGGTGATGTTGCCCTTAAGCAGGCAGTCTTGGGTTGCTTTAAAAAAGAGAGATAGAGAGATGGCTCAGAGGTTAAGGGCACTGACTGCTCTTCCAGAGGTCCTGAGTTCAGTTCCCAGCAACTACATAGTGGCTTACAACCATCTGTAATGAGATCTGGTGCCCTCGTCTGGCCTGCATGCATGCAGACAGAAAACTGTATACATAATAAATAATATTTTTTTTTAAAAAAAAAGCGAGCTGGGGGAGTGGGGAACTGGGTAGATGATGGCTCAGCAGTTGAGTGCACTGGCTGCTCTTCCAGAGAACCCCGGTTCAATTCCTAGCACCCACATAGCAGCTTACACACGTCTGTAACTCCAGTTCCAGGGGTTCCGACACCCTCACACAGACATACATGCAGGTAAAACACCACAGAACGTAAAATAAAAATAGTTTTTTTTAAAAAAAAGCAAACAATAAGCCACGGGGAGCAAGGCAGCAAGCAGTGTTCCTCCATGCCTTCCGCTTCAGTTCCTGCCTCCAGGTTCCCGCCCTGGCTTCCCTCCATCATGGGCTATAAAGCGAAAGCCAAAATAAACCCTTTTCCCCTTTAGCTGCTATGGTCACAGAACAAACCAAACGAGGACAGTCTCTCTGTCGTTTCTACCACAGGAAGCAGGAACTCAAGGCGCAGGGCCCAGGAGATCCCCATCAGTGATGAAGGACCCCAGAGAAGAAGCCACTATCCGCCATGATGGGCCTCTTGGTCATGGAGGAACAGAAATGATTTTCCACAAGCCTCAGAGAACTTGGAAGCTGACCCTGATTTTCACTGTGTAAACAGAGCCACAGCCTTCCTTTCTTGAGAACTGCCAACACAGAGTCACAGTGCGGGACTTTGGAGATGATCCCTACAGGTCACTTCTCTCCCCTGACTGGGGCCAGGCATGTTTCCTGGGTCTGAAGATTCTGTGCTGGGAAGCTGGACTGGGAGGCCTGCATTGTCCCCAGCTCCTTACCCTACCTGCACCAGGGACACTTACGTTGATGAGAGCCATGATCCAGAAGGCATAGGATACGTGGTTCTCTGTCGAATCCTTTGGGGGCAGCCTAGGGATCGTCTGGTTTGACCAAGGCTGGGTTGCTGCATGATGCTGGCCCAGGACCGGGGATGCATGGAACAGGTGGCTTCTGGAGGTGGCATTGGCTGTGCTATTAGCAGGAAAGCAGTTGGCCTCTGACAGGAAGGGATCAGCAATCAGGGGGCTCAGCAGAGCACCAAAGCCCACGAAGAAATGGAGGACCTGGGTGGGGGGTGGGTACCACTCAGCCTGCTTCAGGACTTGCTTCCAGAGGGTGCAACCTCCCCTCACCTTTTACGGGGAAGACTCAGGAAGCAGGAGAGAGAAGGAAGAACGTCGAGAAAAGCCCCCTTGCGCCACACTCGATACCTGGGGTAACTGGTGTGGCAGGAGTCAACCCTTCCTCCCCCTCTCCCTTCCCCAACTCTATTGGCATTGGTGCTGTGCCCGTTATGGTGGTCAGTTTCACCAGCTTGATTGGACTAAGACACAGCTGGGGCACCAGGAAAGCACCCCTCTGGGGATGTCTGTGAAGGCATTTCCAGGGAGGCTTAACTAATGAGGGAAGACCCACCCCAAATATGGGTGACCCCATTCCATCAGCTGGGGGCTGAGGCTGAGTCACAAAAGGAAAAGGAGACAGCCAAAACCTGGCAATCCCCTGTCTGTTCCCTAGTTGGTGCCAAGGACTGAGCCACTCCTGACCACACCATTCCCTCACCCCCACCCCCCACATCATGGACTGCATCCCCCTAAACTGTGAGCCAAAATTAACTCTATTCCCTTAACTTGCTTCCTTGGGTACTTGGTAACAGCCACAAATGCTGGGTGACTGGAAGGAAAGAGGAGAGGAGGAGAGAGACGTGAGAACGGACAGCAAGCCCTCAGTAACACTGCCTTTCCTCGTTAGAGAACTTTAGTTAACACCGGGATTCCTGGGAGAGGCCAACAAGGTAGGCAGAGATCACCCCTGGAGAGAGGGAGAAAGCCAAACCCAGGTATTAGGTTACTGATGGTGTGTGGCCCAGCTAGTAAGTGATCAGGACAGGCTGAGCCACCACCATCCCTGGAGACAGCCTGGGAGCTCCCTACGCTCTGCCCAGTACCCAGCCTCCCCCTGTGCAGCTCACCTGAAGGAAGAAGGCTGAGTCCTTCTGGTATATCCTCACCAGCTGCATGTTGGCCACGGTGTCGATGCAGCCCATGGCTAGGCCCGCCAGCGCTATGACCGAGGCCAATACCTTCACATCATGGCAGAAGGGGATGACAGCAAATACCAGGGAGATGGCCAGGGTAGAGGTGAAGAGGGCCCATAACGATTGGGCCAGGCTGGGCAGGGGAAAGCTGGAGTCAGCAGAGGAGTCCAGAGCCTCCCTGGAAGGCCCCTGCTCCTCCCCATTGCTCTGCTACCAGTGGGAAGGGAACTGCTCACAAGCTGTGGGCTGCAGGCAGGTGCATGAGTAAGCGTGTCCTAAGTGCAGCAATAGCCTCTCATGGCTGCCACGAGTACTCCGGATGTCATACTGTTGCTCACTAAGCTCAGCTACCACATTATGTTGCTAAAACCTTAAATTATCCATGTTAAGCAATTCTGTGAGACAATGTTCCTGTCCCTCCCAGGGGGGCTCCTTTGAGCATCTTCAAGGGACATCTACAGATAAGGGTTGGGGACCCAGGATGAGCCTGAGCCTGGAAGTCCTCAGCTGGGCAAGAGTAGGGCCAGGTAAGCTACATGTACCCTTCACACAGGAATTGACAAGGGCTGTCTTTGTAGGCAGAGCCAAGCTGCCAGGAGCAAAGCTACAGCACAGAATCTGGTTTATTCAGTACGCCTCTTCAAGGACAGAGGTCAGGGGCTATCCCCACGGAGACCAATCTGAGCAGTCCCCAGTGCAGACAGACTCAGAACATGTGGAGGGCTATCCCCATGAGAGACGGATGTCAAGATCCTTTTGGCAGGGAGTTCTACCTTATAACCAAGTGCCTAGCGACAGGATCCGGCTTGTGTGTTTTGGACCACTCTATAGGCTAATGGGCTGGGTTGGGGGAAGAGCTTGGGCAACAAGAAGGTTCTGGAGGCTGTGGAAGAATGTCCTCAGATTATGAAAAGGGAGAGGGGTGATTCCAGAACACTGGAAGAGCAGAGGGGACCCCCAGAGGTGGAGCAGACTGTCTTTTGCCAGCACTCGACTCTGGTCTCCCGGGCACTCAGCCACCTCATCTCCTTGCATCCGATTAAAGCCTTTATCAGAGGAGTTCTGTTGATGGCAGCAGTTCATTATTTTGTTATTTTCTCATTTCCAGGCTGATCTGCTGAGGAGATCACTGTTCATGACCCCTGTCTGTTCCCACTCAGAACCTGGGGTAGACTAGCTTCAAAGCCCGACTGAAGACAGTAGAGGGAAGGTGGCTACAATGTGGCTGCAGTCTTGCAGCTGTCCCTTGGTCCCTGCTCTGACAATCCCCAGCGCTGACCACCCAGCTAACCTGACTCCGGTGCTTGCTTGTGTTCCTGCTTCCTGCTCTGTGATACCACATCTCACCGGCCTCTTCCTCCGAACCCAGTTCAGAGGGGATGCCTATGCACACAAGGCTTGACGAAAATGGTAGACCTTAACTTTCCACCCTCTCTCTCTCCTCCCACACTTCCTTTCCTTGTCTAAGACAGGCAGGCAACCTCTTGCAGACCAACTTTGGGAATAGGGAATAGCAAGGGTCACTTCTATATGTACCTTCACCGACCCACTGACCCGTTACCACGGCCTCACTCACAGGCCAAGTACAAATACTCTCTGAGGAATTAACCCATTATGTATGGCAGCTCTCCTAGCACTCTGAGGTGGAAGGAGGAAGACAGAGAGATCAGCACAGCCTGGGCTACTCAGCAAGACCATTCATCAAAAACGCAAAAGAAACCAAATAATTGGATGAGACCTGGGTGGGGGGTGGCCACACTGTGTATCTATCAGGTGTCCTGGGGTACGGCTTGTGTGGAAGTGGTCCAGGACAGCCCTCAGGCTTCTCACAAAACCCTGAGGGCATAGAATCTAAGACCTGTAAGCTGTGACAGAAGAAACCACGGGGAGGTAGGGAAGGGAAAGAAGGGTAAGGCCTGGTGTTGCCAGGTGTGCAAAAGCCACCGACATTCATCCACAGTGGTACAGACTTTTAGTACACGTGAGCTGAGCATACTGGGAGGTGGACCTCACGCCTGTGCCCATTTGACTCATGAGTGAACCCAGGCTAGGAGGAAGAAGACATGGAAAATCCCTTCCCTCTGTCTCCTGCCAGGACTTGGGCTGTGGTTGGAGTCTAAGCTGGCTACCAGAGTCTGGAAGGCTGACCCCACATTTGTCCTGAGAGTAGACCAGCGGTTCAGTCTTGCAGGTATTGCAGGGCTGCGTGTAGACATTCCAGAAATCCTTCAGGATGGAACGTGGCTCCCAGGGCCAGGCTAAAGTATATGCATTGCCGATTTTAAATCCCTTTCAGGAAGGTGGGTAACTGGAGATTACAGAGTAATAACGTTAAAAAGATTTTGACATCAAAGACACAGTGGACTGTGTGATGAAAACCCTTGGTTCGAGGCTCACCTCTGATTCTGCCCAAAGTGTGACCCGTGGCAAGTCACTACCTCTCCCCTCTTGAGCCTCGGTTTCCTCCCCTCTAACTGAGGATAGCCAAGTGCTCCATCTTAAGGCCTCATGAGGTTCCCTCTCCAGTTCTCATCCCTCCTTGCAGCACTGGACCCAGGATATGTGCCAGCGAGAAGGCCGGGACTAGTGCCAGTTCTAGGTGCCTTCCCACCTTTCTCGTGAGTGATCCTCGTAGGTTGATCCAGGAATGCCCCAGGAGCCCACCTCCTGGCCACACGGTGTGTACCAGTGAGAGCAGCTCAGCTAGCACCCAGGGACCTTCTCACCTTACAGACCAGGAAGCTGAGGTCTAGATGGGAAGACAGTAGTATGAAACTGAGCCCAGGGGCTTGACCCCCAACGGAGGCCAACATCCAGCAGAGCGCCACTGGCCTGCCCTCCACTGGAACTCAGACATGAATGTTAAATGAATCTCTTTCCTCCAGGGCCTAAGAAACATATGCCAGAAAGCCTGATAAATGGTCAAGTTACTTATTAATGACTTCACAGGAAGCCGTAAATGGGAGTGGAGAGAAGGAGGGGCCCCAGCATCCTCCTTCAAGTTGGCTAAGATTATGGAGGCATTGCCTGCTCGGCCACTTTGGCTCTGTGACCTTGAGTGAGCTGCCCTAACCCCTCTCAGCACTGGTTGCCAGGTACACATGTGACCACTTTGGTGTGTCCCTGCCTTGGGCACCTGGTGCCGTGAAAAGACAGACAGGGCCACTCCTGCTCTCTGTCTGCAGCTGGGGAGAACTCTGCTGAGGCCTCATTCCACGCTGCTGGAGTCACCCCACCGCTGTTCTCCGCAGGAACTCCCTCTCCGTGGCAAGATGCTCGGGGCCTCTCCTTTCCCAGTTTCAATGGACCCATCTCTTTCTATAGAAGACCCAGGGAAGGGATGGGGACAGATTGGTGGGAGTCCCAGGAGAAGCCTCATCTACCTACTTGAGGGAAAGAAAGTCCTTTCAGGAACTAGGATCAGTTGGCAATTTTCTCTCAAGCCAGGCTGGTGGGGACAAGAAGGGCTCCCTATACCGCAGTCACCTCAAGCCTCCGTATGGATGTTCATGGCCCCATGTTGGGGAGGCAGGACTGCCCTGTTTGACCCAGGCTGTGGCTGCACCCTGCCCCAGTGTCTCTCTGGGTGCTGAACATTTGCAAAGTGCCTTAGAGCCAAACCTTAGGTCTGTCTGCCCAGACACCTCTCCCCCAGTTCCTGACATACCTGACCTGTTTCTCAAGAGGCAGTTCTTTTGCTGTATCAGAACCCTTGTAAGGACAGCCCCATAGGCTTGCCTGCCCCTTTTTTATGCATCGTTTCATTTACCTGACCACCTACTTGTGAAAATCTGGTTATTTCCACTTATTTATGACAAGTAATGTGCACATCCAGGCACACATTTTGGTGTGGGCAAATGTTTTCCCTTCTCTTGAGCGTAGACTGAGGAGCAGAACTGTCGGGTTCATGCTAACTCCATGCTGAAGCTTTGCTTGTCTTATTTTGATTGAGACAGGTTCTCAGGTAGTCTAGGCTGGCCTCAGAGGCCTTATGTAGTGAAGGATAGCTATGAATCTCCATCCTCATGTCTCTGTCTCCCACGGACCGGGACTACAGGCTTACACCCCTATGCCTGGCTTTCAGATGTTTTTATACAAGAACCTTTCTGGTGCTGAACTCCCAGTAGGACTCTGGCACATGGTGGACAAGCTGTTGACGGGACAAACAGAGGCTTCTGGAAGTGAGGTCAGTCAGAGCCCAGCCCAGAGAGGGGAACTGGAGGTGTTGCGGTCCAGGGTCTGCAGGAGGCCAGAGACTCGAGATGCAAGTGGACTTAGAGCTGGCTATGAGGAAGGTGTGAAGACTCGGTTAGCTCTAAGGGTTTGCAGGAGGGATTTTTACCTGGGTCTAGGCAGCAGGAGACTTGATGATAAGAGGGACTTAAGATTTAAAAAGATAGATAAGGAAGGTGACAATTGGCACATGTAGCTATGCAGCCCTCGACCACTTAGTGCAGGGGAGAAGCCAAGGAGATGCTGGCGATCTTAGATTGTCAATCTACTGATGACCTGAGATAAGGGGGTTTCCCAGCTGACCGGGGTGATTATACAGGTCCCACAAAACCAGAAAAAAACCTTTTGTCTAAATACCCCTTATCTGTCCTGTCAATCACATGCCTCCTTAGCCTGCCAGCCACCTGGCTTTCTATGTCTATTCTCTAGATTTCCTCTTTGCGCTCAACAAGATTTTCCTAGGGAGGCTCCAGTTCAGGATCCAGTGGCTGTTCCTCCTCTGCTGGCCCTGCAGATGGCCTTCTTTAAAGGCCAAGCCCTTCGTCTCTGCTAAGGGGAGCGGAGGAAGGCTGGGTTGCCCTGGGGTCCCACTCCAATGCTTGCCCTACAGAGGCATCTAGAAGGCTCCCTGTGGCCCAGGGCCCTCAGATTAGGCAGGAGATAGGATCTAAGCAGAACCTTAAAGCAAAACATCTGTGTGTCTCTCCCGCCCCCCTCTCTACAGCTGGCCCCTGAGATTGGTTAAGGCAATCCCCCATTCTGAGTGCCAGCCTGGCTCACTGACTGGTAATCACTTAAGCTGAAAAGCACTTCCTTGCAGGGGCATTAGCATTTCAACAGACGGGGAGGTTGTGCTCCCGACTTTAGAGGCCATGTCAGGATTGGCTGGGCTTCTGTTCACTTCCGGGGTGGGAATGGGGAGACCGCTCAGACTTAGCCAGGTGGGGGCCATCATTGCAGACACCCAAAATCTCCCCTTCTTCCCCACCAGAACCCTGCTTTGCTCTGTACCAAAGAAAACAGTTCTTGGTCTTGAAGCTGTGAGGGCCGAGACTTAGAATTTAAAGGCCAACCCCGAGAGCCCTGCTTGGCTCTGGAAGAGCCCAGAGGTCCACACTGCCTTCCCAGGGACTGTCAGAGCTCAAGAAAACTCAGCTCATGAAGACCGACAGGATATCTATGCATCTCCATCTCCTGCACAGACCTTAGCAACGGAGCAGTCACAACAGAGCGGGAGCCCCTTCCAAGGCACCTGGGACTACGGACAAATGCCCACATGCAAACCCTGGAACTGTGCAATGTGGGAAAAAGTCCCCCTTCCTTTCCCTCCCTTCCTTCCTTCCTTCCTTCCTTCCTTCCTTCCTTCCTTCCTTTCCTTTCTTCCCTTTTCCTTTTCCTTTTTTTTTTGTTTTTTTTTTTTTGTTTTTTTTTTGGTTTTTTTGTTTTGGTTGCTTGAGACAAGGTCTTGCTACGTAGCCCAGGCTGGCCTTCAACTCAAGGTTCTCCTGACTCAGCTTCTGGAGAGCTGGGATTACCACACCTAGGTGAATTTCATAACCACTCTATACCTCTGCTTCCTCGTGTATAAAACAGAGACAATATTATTACTTTGCAGGGCTGTAGTGAAAATGAAATGGGTTGATACAAGAACTAAGAATAGCCCTGGCACAGGCCTTCTGCACAATGGTTTAGTAACTATTGTTGACATGGCCGTGGTTTCCTGCTGCAGGGCTCTCTCTCTCTCTTGCCTATTCCGAGCCCTGGTGGATAAGGAACCTAGAGACAGGAGCAAAGCCAGGGAGAGGTGGCCCAGTTGGGTGTGTATGTCTTCCCATTTCAGAAAGACAGGCTTAGAATGATCCTCATTCGCCTTCCTGTTTGCACCACATGTGTTCCCAAAAAGTCCTAGGAAGGAGAGCTTCTCCAAGTCACATCCGTGAGGGTCAGGAGTGTGGCCCAGCAGCAGGGAGCTTGCCTGACACATATGCTTCCATGGGTTTCACGCCCAGCACCCCCACACAACGACAGTCAGAGATATTCCCTCTTTCTCTTCATTAATTTTCTAGGTTGAACAGGTCTTTAAAATTCCTGTATATCTGACCCTATCCCAAACCCACAAAAAAAACCCCAAAAAATAAAAAAGCAACAACAAAAAAACAAAACAAAATCAAACAACAACAACAACAAAAAACCACTGATAGGTACAAGACTTGCTTTGGAAAATTCTTGCATTTGCAAGAGAATATGGGGGAAATGAAAACCGTCACTTTCCAGTTACTGAGAATTGCTCTGGATTGCCTCGACTGGGGTCCACTCTCTGTGGACATCTGTACTGCATCTTCCCACCGCTGCTGCACACACAGCTGGAGGAGTAAGCACTTAGAGCCTTCGGGCCCAGAATGGTCTCTACACCCGGATTTTTTAACTACTTATTTTGTGATAGACCTCCCAACCGTGGTTTTACGGTCCAGGTGGAATTTGGAGGACCACATAGCAGCCTCAGCTCTAGGTCTCTCTCTGCTCCTGACTGAACAGAGAAGGAAGGCTGCTGCCCTTCTGGAAGAGGGACTCCTATACAGTTAGCCGGGAGAATAACATTCTGCGTGGCACCCAAAGGGTGTCATTCCGAGTGCCAGAGAGAGATCAGAGCTCTGTCCTGGCAGAGGCCAGGGAGGAGTAACAAGGTAGAAGGGTACAGAGGGGGACCCTGGGCACCAGAGATAGAGGATGGAAGAGAAGCTTTATATTTCTCTACCTGGCCCTCACTATATGGTCTCAGAGGCCCAAGGGCTCAACCTCTGAAGACCAGCGCTGGCTCCCTCAGGAGACCCCAGGAGCTTACCACCTGTGCCAACTGATGCGGAGCGACTATTAGTAGAGCCAACAATGGGTGCCTGTTCAAACCCACAGGCCAGTCCTGTCACCGAGAACTGCTCCCTGAACTGGCACCACCAACTGTCTTCCCATCTCAGTGCCAATTCCACCTCCAGTGCTGGGGCTACAAAACCTCAAGAGGAGCAGCGAAATAAGGGTCCTACGCATCTCTGCACATTCCATCACTTCTTGGCTGGTGGGCATGGAGAGCGAGGGCGGAACGGTTTTAAGCTCTCTCAGGGGTGAATGAAGGCAAATACCTAGCCCAGAAGTCACCTTCAGTCCCGGGAGAGTTTTCCGGGAGAGCTTGTGGTGGGGGAGGGAGGCAGCCCCTGGGCTAAGACCCAGCCCAGCAGGGCAGGTGGTCGCAGCTGCGGGGAAGTGGAGGGGCGCGCGGGCGCGACACTCACGTCCTCTTGAAGACGCCCCCGAGGGCGCTGCCCAGCAGGAGGCAGAGCTGCTGCGAGAAGAAGACCCAGGAGATCTGGGGCAGCGAGCTGTGCGTTTGGCAGCGGAGGTCCAGCAGCGTGGGCCCCAGGAAGGCGATGCACAGGCCGAAGCTGAAGAAGACGCTCCAGTAGGTGAGCGTGGGCTGCAGGTTGCGGCGGAGCAGCCCCGACACCCGGCCGTCGCAGCCCATGACTCGGCCGGCTGCTCGCAGCGAGCCCAGGGCCGAGTGCGGCGGTCGACAGGAGGCAGGGCGGGAGGAGGAGAAGAGAGGAGGGGAGCGCCAAGCGGCTGCCCCGCCCTCGGCCAGCGCGCACAGGGACGCCCGGCGGTCGGGGGCGCCGTGGACGCACGTGTCCCGCCGCGGGGACCGCCCTGCCTCGCCCCGCCTTGCCTCGAGTCCCCGGGGGGCCCGGGCTGGAACCCACCCGGGCACGACCCGCCGGCTAGCGCCAAACGCTCCACGAACCCCACACGGCTGCCTTTCCTCTTGGAGACCTGAATCCTCTTCAGTTGATCCTGGGGGTGCCGCAGGTGGACTTCGAGGATCTGCCAGTGCCTCCCTCTACCCCACCCCGAGAGAAAAAGGAATCTCGTGTGTACATTGTTTTCTTGTGGCTTTCATTTGTAACCTCAAGGGGTTTAGCATATTGTCCCTTGGAGTCCCCTTTCCCACCCCTAGAAACTTGGACCATCATTTTGCTGCTTTTAGGTTCTGGGATTGATTATAAGGCCTACAGCATGGTAGACAAGTGTCCCCAGTCTTAGAAACTTAGGTCTTCTCCACTCTAAGCTTGGGGATAGGAGGACCAGCACCGGCACCTGTCCGATAGCAGGTGTGACATGCAGGAGACTATTTCTTCCCAGTGCAGTGAGGGAGGGCAGAAACCCTAGGACTTCTAGAGTGGTTCTGAGATAATCCTCCAGAGTTCTCGTTCTGGAAAAGGTCTGCACGGGGTGAAGGGGCTTGTTTATGCTCCAGGACCCTGCAGCAGACCCCAGTAGCCCTGGATGGTTGTGTGTGGTCCCGCCTCTGATGGAGCTAGGATGTGCCTGTACCAGAATCTAGGAGCAGAGCAATATGGCCCTTCGGTGTCTTTTTTACCACGTGTTCTAATAGTGGTGGAGGTAAATACATCTTGCCGGCTTGTATCTAGGGGTACCGTGACTGAAAGTTCCCAGATAGTGTTTGGCTGAGTGACTCCCATGGCGACTTGGCATGAAGTGGAGACCATCAGCTTCTCTTGCAGGCACACTGCCTCAAAATGCGACCCCATATCTGTTCCATCCTGTCCTGGACACGTCCTGTCCTGGGCTGTATTCATCAGAGGAGGGCTCCAGGAAGTGTCCCACTGTCTCAGTCACTCTGTGGGTGATGGCAGGGACTAACTTAGTGGTAGTAAGGGTGGGCTTTGCAGTACTTGTTATAAAGTACAAAGTTACCATCTAGAAAAAAATGCCATAATCATCAGCTTTTGAGTCCTCTCGGCTACTGCTGCAACATTCTAGAGCAATGGAGCTCAGAAATGGGGAAGGTGACCTTGGGTTCAGACCCCTGCCTCCTCCCGTTGTCCCAGTGATAGCTTGATTGCTTTGTTCCTGACTGACACTTCTACTAATGGAGACTTTGCTTGCCATTTTCTTCTCATTTTTAATGTTTTTAAAGATTTATTTATTTTGTGTTATGATTTGCCCGCATGTATGTCTGTGCACCATGTGTATGCCTGGTGCCGGTGGAGGTCAGAAGAGGGTGTCAGATCGTCTGGAACTGGAGTTACAGATGGTTGTGAGCCACCGTGTGGGTGCTGGGAATCTGATATGGGTCCTCTGGAAGAGCAACCAGTGCTCTGAATTGCCGAGCCATCTCTTCAGCCCCTGCTGGTCATTTCCTGGAGACCAGCTTCCATCATGAGTCAGCTCTCGGGTAGGCTGTCTTCCACTGAGCCAAAGTGTCCTTCTTGTAGCTAGCTGTTTCCCAAAGCCTCACACAGAATGACCCTCCTGCTCTGCACCTGTTAGTCCTTCCAACATGGGATTTGGATGCAGGGATTTCACACGTGACCTGGACACGGGGATTTCACTTCTCCAACCAGGTTCCCTGGAGCTCTTCATGATTTTTCCAGATGGTGCATTCCAACTGCCTTGCCCTACATACCAGCTGGCTTCTCTGCCACAACGGCCATGACCCTGGTAACTGGGAGCAGCCCAGTGTCTGGGATGATAAAAATATTTTATAGTTTGATCTGAACAGAAGTTGCTGTTGACTTTTAGAGGATACCTCCAATATAATGCTTTTTTTTTTTTTTTTTTTTTTTTTTTTTTTTTTTTTTTTTTTTTTTTTTTGGCAAGCTGAGCAATTCAAATTAAACAGAAAGCAAAAGTCTTAAAGTGTTTGAAATCAGGACCCTGTAGCCTGTACTTTCCTTTCTTCTCCCTTCTCCCCTTCCCTTTCCCCTCTCTTCCCCTCTCCACCCCTTTCCTTTTTCCTTTCTCTTTCCATCTTTTGTTTTTGTCTGCCTGTCTGTTTCCCCACTTGGTGCTAAGGACCAAACTCAGGGCATTGTCCATCTGTGTGCCACGATGCCTCACACTCTACAGCCGGCCCTTGAGATTTGTTAAGGCAATCCCCACTCCATACTACATGCATGTGCTGTCACTGAGCTAACCCCCAGCCTTCCCTGAACCCTTCCCTGCCCCTCTCCCCTAAGCACACAGAGAGAGCTCTGTGGAAATCCCTTATCAGCAGTAAGGCCAGATTACAAAGGGAGCCCATTGTCCATCTCAAAAGACTGGGGACCAGAACACACACAGAATAGCAACTGTCCCTGTGCCCATTTGAACTCCAGAACCAGATACTTTCTGATAATCCTTTAAGAAGCTCTTAAAATTGTCTGTGTCCCTTCACTCCTCCTCTATAGAAAGAGACATCTAAGCTTCCAAGTGATGTCGTTTGGGTAAATTATCACACCCCTGTGATTTCACCCGTGTCAGGGTTCAACTTTTTATCCCATTTAATGTTCCTCAGTTTATTCTAGCAAGCTTTCAAAGGACAGAGGGAATCTCCCTTTACCCCCACATTACCCATCAGAAACATCTGTAGAGGCTTACTGGGCTGTACACTTACGAAGTGGGCACTTTATCCCATGTAATTTGTACTATAGTAAAATAGTCAGAGAAGAGAGGAAGCAGGAGTGAGGGGAACACCCTACACCGCGTCTGTGCTCAGTCCTCTTACATCACTGGAGGCTCTGCTGTACGAGGCTTTGGGTGGAGATATCGGGCGAGGGGGTGGGCAGCTAGGGGATGCACTCTGCAGGGGGGATAACTAGAGACCAGAGGAGCTCTGCCTGGGAAGAGGACATGCAGAGGTGATGGAAGCAGATCGAGAAGATGAACTGGGGGCAGCAGGGTCAGGCTCATCCTCTTTCTTTCTTTTTTTTTTTAAATTTATTTATTGATTATGCATACAACATTCTGTGTGCATGTCTGCAGGCCAGAAGAGGGCACCAGACCTCATTACAGATGGTTGTGAGCCACCATGTGGTTGCTGGGAATTGAACTCAGGACCTTTGGAAGAACAGGCAATGCTCTTAACCTCTGAGCCATCTCTCCAACCCCATCCTCTTTCTTTCTTGTCTTCTACTTCACACATTCTCCACGTCCTCCTGAAGAATTCAAGCTCGGACACTGTAAAAAGCCAGGCAACTTCATCTGGGGTCTAAGAACTGCAGCCGGGAAAGCCTGGATCCCACAGCTGTGAGTGCGCTAAAGCGACTCATCTTACAGACACAGAGGAAGTGCCACAGGTACCTGGGAGGAGGGCGACTGTCAGAGACACAGGCCTCTCACCCCCCAGGCTACTGTTCCGGGCTTGCACATGATTGGCTGAGCTGTATGCACAGGTATAAAATTCGTTAATCTTTTATGAGCCTGTTACAGCTACCATATCCAATAAAAGACATTAATACCTTCCAAGGCCTTGACCCAGCTCAAAGGTCTCATTCCCATGCCATTTTCACGGCCAGTTTAAGAATTCTCTCTGTCCCTTGCCAGGAGGCAAATGCCTATGTTCCCAGTACTTGAAGGATAGGGGGAGGAGTTCCAGGTCACCCTAGATGCATAGAGAGTTGGCTAGGCTACCTCAAAAACTAAACAATTAATCCCTGTGCGGCAGCCCAATATTTGCATAGATCAGTAGTTCCTTAAAGTCCCCCCAATTTCATCTTATTTTTTATTTATTTTTTGTCGTTCTGAGGCAGGGTTTCTTTGTGTAGTCCTGGCTGTCTTGGAACTCACTCTGTAAGCCAAGCTGGCCTCAAACTCACAGAGATCTGACTGCCTCTGCCTCCTGAGTGTCGGGATTAAAGATGTGTGCCACCACATTCGATTTATGGTTCCAATTTTATTTTAAAATCTCCTCAAGAGTTAGCATTTATGAGGAAGGGAGGCTCACAAGGCCCCATACTTCCTTGAGGATCCTTAGGTAGTTAGTAGTTGCTAACTAAGGAAGTGGAAGAGACATTTTCTTCAGTGATGTGGCTTCTGGTAAGTCACTCATGTTCCTATAAATAGCCACCTCCCGGGGTCCTGTAAGTAACCCTAGTTAAATTCATTGGATCAATACCCACCCACACACATGATACAACACACACACCACACACAAACCACACAAACACACATACCACACACAAACACTCATACCACACACACATACATATACCACACGCAAACACACATATGCATATTACATACAAACACACCAAATACACACAAACACACACAAGCAATAGATTACACATATACACCACACAAACACATACCACACACGCATGCACACAAGCACACACACAGGAAAGTCCCAGGAGGACTAGTAGGGAAGAGGAAAGGGCTCTAAGGGAGTGGAGGGGATGAGAGAGTAATAGGGAGGATGAACATGGTTAAAGTGCGTTTTGAACACATATGAAAATGTCATAATGAAACCCATTATTGCTACAACTAATGTATGATAATAAAAATTATTTTCAAAGAGAAAATAATGTTTTAGTCTGTGATGGTTACTTAAAATGCGAAGATGTGCCTCCCTCCTACATTTAAAATAAAATCAAACTGGGGGCTGGAGAGATGGTTTAGTGGTTAGGGGCACTGGCCGCTCTTCTAGAGAACCAGGGGTTTGTTTTCTAGTACCATGTGGCAGCTCACAACCATCTATGACTCCAGTCCCTCTTCTGA